GTAGTTGTCAATCTAGCCTGACTACCTAAGGCTTCTAACTGGCCCTTCAGCTGGTTGGGGAGGAGGCCTTAAAGCCAAAGGAGAAGAAAGTGATCTTCATCCAGTTTTAGCTCACAGAAGAGCTAATCTCCTACTGATTATGATAGAGAAGACAGATGATATTTACAGGTTCATTGTGCCGGAGAAATTCCCCTAGCTCTTGTCGACTAGCACAATGAACAGTGGACCACAGCTTAACGTCCTGTCCTAGGGTCTGCAACCCTTTCCAGCAGCATGCATGTCGTGTGAGCGACAACTATCGGGGTTCAAACTCCCAATCTCTTGGTCCAGTGGCAGGGCCGCTAACCACCAGACTATGCACACTACACTTAATCAAAAGATTATGTAACACAGTCTATTGTCCAACATACTCAATGGAAAGATTCTGCAGTTCATTGTAGGGATGCTTCATTGCAAATATATGGGCTTTCTCATTGGGAATTTGTCACAGCATGGATCCCTGCTGTAGAATTGGATGTTGGATGGTGAGAACAATGATTCCCAGTACTATCTGCCTTAGGGACAGAAGCAACAGTTCTCGGGGAACTTCATTTTTTACAAAAGTTGTCGGGCCTCCAAACTGGGAGGAGCCAGGACAGGGATTGATATTAATCGCCAGAGGATCATTAAGGAAAACTGATATTAATTTGGCGGGGATTATTAATTAAGGTGTCTGACCACGCCATTAGCTGTCTCCCCGAATATTGGAAAAAATCCTGAGCAGACAATTGGTGTCGCCACATGGAGACAGTCTCATTATCCTGCCTCTTTAAGACACACCGCCCAATTTCTGGTCAGACTTGTTGGAGGCAGGGAGTCCCGCGCTGGCCATTTGTTGAAGTGCCACGAATTTGTCTTGTGCCAACCCACTTAACATTTATGTCTTTTATGGGTAGTTTAGCCGAGGTGGGGCGGGGGATATTGCATGCGGCGGGCCGTTTGACATGACTTGTGTGTCTGGCCCACACTGTAATACTTTATTCCCAGAACATCTAAACGTACAGGAACTATAGTCTGCATCATTACAGCCCTCACATTCATTTGAAAAAGTGAAGGGAAGGTGCCTGGTAGTCTAGACTCCACATGTAGGTGAGAAACTTTGGCACTACATTTTGATTCTACTTTGCTGATTGGCAAAAGAGTTCAGTGATTACGAAAGTTGTAATTGCCAATATTTCAAGGTTTTGCTGCTGACTTTTCCACTTCTTGTTGTCATTAAAGTTTATCAAGAATTCCCGGCTTTAAAAGTCTTAAGAAGGTGGATTCTCTATTGCTGTGCTTCAAATGTGTTAATCTTCAATACACCTGTGTATTAAAAGTCAAATGAACAGTATATACAAACTTTTTTCAATGTATTCAAGAGGAATAACTTCAAACAATTTTTTTAAATCATAGAGGAAACTTCAAGAGACTTTAAAAAAAAAAAAAAACAAAGGAACAATATTTCCTTGAAATCTCATTTAACACAATATTAATTCATAGTTTTCAGATATCAAATAGCTGTTCAACTACAGATTCCACTATAGTCACTAACAAAAAGGCAGTGTGGATGCTACTTGAAACGTCTGACAGCTTTCAAAATCTATCAAGTTGCTTGAGTAACTGTTTTCTGACTATTTATCTTCCTTTTATTTCTTAAAATCCTTCCATGTTTTTTAGTGTTATCAAACTACAGCAGGAGAAAATGAACGTTTCCACACTGGCTTGAACATTTTTCAATGCATCAGTGCATTTGTCTTCATTTCATTTAGTAATTAGCACACAGTTTTGGGATAAATACCTGTTCAAATACAGATTCCACTAGTCACTGATGCTACGTCTGACGGCTTTCAAAATCTATCTAGTTGCTTGAGTCTTGAACATTTTTCAATGCATCAGCGCATGTACTCAGAGTCAGAGTGTGTTAAATGTGCTGTATTGATCCTGTCAGTGCATTCCAAACCCATCAGAGGGCCATTCAGACTTGTCCATCCTCTTTACAACATCCCTCCTGTCCTATAGGCCGGGCTGGTAATGGTTCCCAAGGTGACCATCCTTGTCGTCCTTGTCGCTAGCATTAGCTCTACACCATTACCAATAAGCTTGCCTACCTTACTCTTTTCCCAACTTTCTGACAACCGGTCATCTTCTACCCCCACCACAAAAAGTGGCAAGGTGGTCTTTTTGTTGTCTTAAAATCTTGTTTTGTTTACTGAAAGAATCTAAAGGTTCTTGGTTCATACATGTAACCTTGGCAGACCCTTGTTGCATCTTTGAGAAAGGCATTTTACACCTAATTCCTCACTTGACATAGGTGAAAATCAGTACCTAGCTTTGATAAGGAACATTCTCTCAGATGGGGATGCAATAGTGCAGGTCCCATACTGGAGGAGAGCCACACTTCAAGCACATTAAAGAACCCACCACACTTTTTGGAAAAGATTGACTCATTGAGTGGTCCTTCCCTGTGTGAATGAATGTCTTAAGGTTGACATCAGGAAAAGGTAGCAGCCAGCTTTTACAAATGTATGTCAATCCTTCAACAAATGTGGTAAATTTCAATAAACAAATTAATATGATTTCTCTACCCACAAGTCTTCACCCCCCCCCTTCCCCCAAGGACTATGGGTATAGTATGAGGGTCCAAGACTGATACCTCCTACCGGGATCTTTCAACTAGTGTCAAGATAACACCTAAGTGTTTTCATTCTTGGACAGAGAAAAGCATGTTCTTGAGTGGTATCAAATGGCTTGTCTAAAGACTGGTATGTATGGTGTGTAGGGAGCTCCCAGAAAGAGAGGGACCAGTTTGTCCTTGAAGCAAAATATTGGTCTTCTTCAAGTGCTGAAAACGTTTTTTTTCTAAAAACTGCCCAGTGACAGCTTTTTAATGGTGTGTCAAAAGGTGGTGACTGGTTCAACCTTAATATATTGAGTCTCAACTTAGCTGTCATCATGCCCAATTTCTAGTAAACATTTTCTACATTGGATAATTTAAAATGATACTGTTCAATCCATTTCTTGTACAATGCGATTTGTGCACATGCTGTGTGACATTTGATTCACAGATATAGTCTGAGAAGTAATTCCTTATTTTGCTAATAACAGGTAAATTTTTTTTGACAGCCAATTGGATACTGCCTTGACAGCCGAACTGGTACTGATACTGTCTTACTAGTACCAATTTGATACAGTCTTGTAGCCACCAGAAGATCTGTTTGGAGATTAACGACATGTAATCCTGCATGGCATCCATCCAACCTGGGTGTATTGATCTCTAACAGTGGGAAAGGTACAACATGTGTTAGATTTCCTGTAACAGGAGGGCCTGGGTTGGAGCAGTCAGCAGGCCTGATGGGGGCTTCCGTCCCTTGTGCAAAATTACACAGCCTTTGAACTAACCTTCAGTCTGGAAAGATTGCGTAAGAAGCTTAAGGAGGGCCTGCATGGGGGGGTAGTGATTACGAATTACGCAAAATTTTCACCGCCGATTTACGTTAAAGTCTCAGAGCTGATTACGACTTAACGCTTTGCAGCTAATGTACTATTACGAATTATGTAGGCTGTCAACGGATTACGATGATTAAAAAGGCCTGATTACGCCTTACAAAAAAGGGCATGCAGGCCCCCCTTAAGGGCGGCCAGTCCTCCTTGAACTGCCATCCTACTCTTGAGGCAACTTTACATAAGAATGGGAAGTCTGGAAGCTAATCTCCTTTCCTTTGGGGAGAAGTTACATAAGTAGGTCTTTACGTAAGTCTTTGAACTAATCAGTACGTCATGATGGTGCTTTTGGGAGGAATGCTTGGTCTGGTTCAGTCAAACGGTTTTCTAATCATCCCCCTTAATGTCTAAACTGTTGTCTCTCCTGTTAGGTCTAGGAGGTTTTTTTTATCTTCTTTGTCGAGGCAATTATTTCCTGATAATGAAATATTTTCTATATGGGAAAGTTAAGAGGATCAAGCTAATCAAAGACTTAGTACTAAGATAGGAGACAGATAATGCTTTATAAATGTCAGAATTAGTTGCAACTGTATTGTCGAGGGTGTTTTCCTCCTGGTCAAATTTTGCCGGTGCTTAAAGTATTTTTGGCGGCTGGTGGTGTGTTGACCACCCTTTACTGTAGCCCAGTAATGAGGATGTCAGGCCCTTTCTCCAGCTGTCGTCAGCACTTAATCCTGGGTGATTGATGGCTGCTCAATTGTTGTTCTTACTGTGGCTCAGACCGGCCCCTAAACATCACCACACTGACATGTCAATCATGTCTCCTGGGGGGGGGGGTGATGTTCAGTACTCAGGTGAAGCTACTGTTGAAAGGTTGAGGGGCTAATTAAATTGTCAATGAAAATAAAGTCATACACGTAGTCTGTGTTGAAGTTCTTGTCTTCTGTCACACTTCCGTCAGCACAGTTATGACAATTTATAGAAAAGTGCACAAAGTTATATGACCATGGCAAGTACAGTAGTGGTGTCATCACCAGATAGCTTTAATCAATGCTAACAGTTAGATTTGCAAACTTGAAGACCTATAGGTGTAACACTTTGTTAGATGTAGTATAGCCAGCTGCCGTCGCACTGCATGCCTGCAAAGCTGGTGTGCAATATATTATGTTACACTGAGGGGCGGTTATACCGGCCTATACAGATACAGACTGATACAGACTCTTGTATACTGTTAGTTAGAACTTGACTGAAATGCTCCCCTTTAATGACTGCTATGACACCTCACCTGAGGCTGCGAATTTGTAATCAGTTTGGTGTGATACATGTATAGCCAGCTGCCACCGCACTGCATACATGTACCTTTAAAACTGGTGTGTTAAGCCGAAGGGCGGTTATACCAGCTACACAGATACAGATACAGATACAGATACAGACTCTTGTATAATATTATAGATAGATTTTGTAAACTGCGCCCTATATTGACTGATACCTCACCAGACACAGAATTTGCTAATCAGCTTGGTTTGTTCTGTTCGCAGTCATCAGAGCGAAGATCGAGCAGATCAAGATCACCCGGCGGGACACCAAGATCGTGGTGGGGCGGCGCAAGCGGGTCATGAAGAAGGCGGGGATCCGCAAGCGGGACATGCGCAACCTGACGCTGATGCTGCAGGACAGCGACGTGTGCACGTGCGACGAGATCCAGGACACCAAGTCACAGTTCCTCATCATGGGCAAGAAGGTCGACAAGCAGTTCATCGTCACCGTCATCCGACAGTGGAAGCGCTCCAAGGACTTCCGGAAAGCCTCCCGCTCCTTTAAAAAGGGCTGCCAACAGGACGCTGCTGATTCGCAGGATCGGGAGGAGGCGGCGGGGAACACGGGACGCAGACGGGGCGGCCGGAATCGGCAGAGAAATTAGCAACGTTCGTTGTTGTCTGTCAGGTGGGACGTACGTGGTGATGATGATGATGTGTATTGGATGCAATAACCGTGCAGTATCCTGACTCTGCTACTATATCTCTTTAGATGGACTGTAGTAGCCTGGGTACCAGACCCACAGTACACTGGATACTTTGAGCCCAGTTTGCTTTGGGTCTGGCAGCCAGGCTAAGACTGTAGGAGTCCTAAACTGGAAATTAGGTCTTTTCTCATGCAAGGCAACGAAATGATCCTGTAGCTAAGACGGAAACAGAAATGTCACTATCTATCAGAAGCAAGAATGGCTACACACAGTACTGTAATTCCTGATTTTTTTCACGGTACTTTTATGTTCACAGTTTTCATGGTCACTTCCATACAGTCAAATTTATCAGTAGACATTACTGCAAACAAATAATTTGCCACCACAGGGAACATACAGTTCTGCGAACGTGTTCATTTTTCTGGCCCATTTTTCTCAGACTGATTTTTTTTCTTCCGTGAACATGAAATGAATTACAGTATATAAGTTAAACAGTGGTAGGAGCTACCTAGTATTTTGTTCTCCCCTAGGTTACATATATCTCATCAGGGATATGTATTGCACAAGAACACTGAGAAAAACTTGTTGCCTACATTCAAATTGATTTCTCTACGTTACCAGAGCTCAAGCTTTCAGCTCCAGTTGCCTAGTTACCCTTACTCCCATGCAGCTATGTGACCTCTTCACCCACTGTTAATATACAGCCTGGGTCATGACATGAGTAATTCCTGGCATTGTGTTGGTAGAAGGATACATGAGAACTTGTTGCCTGCATCAACTCAACCATGCTATTTATGAATTCAACGATGATAATGCAGATATGCTATTGCAAAGGTACAATCTTGTTCTAAGATCTGCTATATAGCCAGTACTGTAGTACTTCAGTGGGTTCAACAAAGTGCTAAACATGTAAATATGTGACACTGCCATTACTTTTTACTGCATAGATTTTAAACATTGAACCACCAGCTTGCTAGAAACAAAATTAAGGGCATCATACCTGTCTTTGGGCACTTCCCGGTGAGGTTGTAAGTCTTCAGATGAGCCAAGACAATCACTGTGGCTGTATGGTGGAAGTTAAGGTAGCTTATAAGGTACTTGAGTGTGAATTGGAAGTACTCAATAACTGAGACATTACATGCAATGCACAGATGAATGAAACATTGGAAAAACATGCAAACTGTTAAGGATAGAAGGCTATTATAAGAAGTGCACAAACGAAATACACTAGAGGCATAGTAAGCTGTAGTCCAGAATTAACAACATCGTACGTCAATGACATCAGTGAAGCATATAGCTTCCTCTGTGTTCTACTGGATGGGTATGGTTCAAGAAAAGACATCCTTAGAGTACAACTTGTCCGAAGGCCTTTACATCCGTGAAGTTTGTAGGGCTACGTACATTAACCTGATATTCACAAGTTTTGAACCAAGCCCATCTAGTTCTTCTTGGAGGAAGCTGTATATGCCAAACTGAAACTAAAACTTGGATGCATGCACACAATTAATTCTTGCAATAATGGCGACTTCCTTATAATGATTATTATAAGGTAAACTTGAACTAATAAGGAATAATTGACCGCTGCCAAATGGTAGTAAGCACAAAATGAAGCCTATAATACAAGATGTACAACAGTTACTACAACATAGCAAAGATGCAAGTAGATACTGAAATAGGTAAAAATGAGAAAGACTGTGTAAATTCTATTGATAATATCATCATCAGCTTTACTGGAATTGTTTGTACAGTTACTGTAGTAGTTGTTCATTAACAGTGCATTATTATTGTATTTAGTGCTGCACTGCCAATGTTGCATCACTTTGTGATTAAGGTTTAATAGGAATGAATGCAATCCTTGGTAGTTAGATGTGTGATGATGAGCCATCCGCAAGTTGGATGCTGGTTATATATGGAGAGAAAGCAAGAATGGTTGACTGTTTAGTTCTACTTGAAGTTTGTTGCTATAGGCTGGTATAGGTGTTCTTTATTCACTGACAAAATTCCAAAAAGAAGTTTTATTCAAAGTGTTATTTTTTCTACTTGAAAAGTACAAAAAAATGTTGGTAATGCTACTACTGATTCTAGGAAAGTGAGATGAGGGGTTGTTCATTGCGTTAAAATTGATCTTTGATACTAGTTGTAAGATTTTCAGAGATTGTTCTTGGAGAAATAATGTTGAATTGTTATTTGTTGGTAGTGGGTTTAATTTTTTTCGGTTCTGAACCATATAACACATGTCAAACTTGTAATTTGAATGATCTTTGAAAGACACAAGAACAACTTTATTTGAGCTTCCCAAGGAAGACATGAATGGACAGAGGAACAGTGTTCTCAATTGTTTCATGACTGGTGAGCTTGCAGACCTACTATATATGACATCAACATGACTGAAAGTTGTATACATGTAAATGATCGGCCTACGTAGACATTAAGTCGGACTGTCCTCCCGAGCTTTTGCTATTGCTGGACAGACTGTTGTAACTTGACATTCCTCACATACTGTGGTAAAGTCAGAAATAGTCCTGGGGAAACACAATGCTAATAGCAGCTGGCTCCTATGTGTCAAAGTACTGGTTAAGGGCTTGACAGGACTGTTTCTAAGTAAAACATACTCTATGCTCATGACTGCTCAATATAGCCTGTATTGTGCGTACTGGTGTTTCAACCGTGTTGTACGAACTGTGAAATATCAGCACTGGCTTTGCTGGTAGTAGTTTTATGTTGTGTGCTTTCAATGGAAAGGGAAAAAATATGATATATACTAGTTAGTGTTGCAGATAAATATAGTTGGAACTAAGATATATATATTATATTATAAAATGTATATGACAAACGGTGTATACCTTGACAAATGTCGACACAAAAATAAAGCTGGAAGTCTTGTGGCTATATTTCGTGTCTGAAATTTATTCGCGACTATTTACTTCAGGCTAAGATTCAAAGTACACTTACAACCCATCCAATGTGAAGGCATCAAAATTCAAAAGTATTTAAGCATGAACTCTAAGAGTGCTTTACATCTAAGCTCATTACATCTAAACATTACAGGCTTGTAAGCTCTACTTGTATGTGTGTGGATGGAAACAGAATAGGTTTTCTGACAATGTGATATACTTACATGTACATGTATGGCTAGCACCTTGGTAAAACTACAACAGGTACTGTATCCTATGACAGTCACTGCAATTTTTAAAGTGTCATTCAGAATGAACTGGATACTTAGTACTAGTTACATTACTAGTCCCTCATGGATTTCTCTGTCACACAAATTAAAAGCTGCAACATTATCACATATCTAAATTAGGTTATAATATATATCTATTCTAAAACTTTTAAAAATAAAAATGACATTCATCTGCAAACTGTATACTGCAAAAATCCATTAACAAATAGATATAGGATGCATGATAATTTATACATTTCATAACTGTTTCTAATTCAAGTACAATAAAAAGATAAAGGTTGTTACATCTCTCATTTCAAAAAGATTGCACATTATTGTAAAAAACAGGACATGTTAAAACAGGACATTTTCACTTGTGCTTCAATGTTAAAACCTAACTACCAGTCATGGAACAATTTACTAAAGGAAGGAGTTACATTATAAGATATAGCAGCAAATCGATCAATACATTCATTTCCATATTTTCCTGTATTCCCTAGGATTGCTTGTCATAAACATCATTGTCTTCTCTAATGAGGAAAATATGGCTTTGAAATATTTTATAAAATCTTTCTTTCCACAATCATTAGAAAAAGTACTTTGGTGACAGATTTACAAGATTTATAAAATCTAACATACACCTGTATTACAAAACATAAATTTTCACCTTAAACTGCAACAAAATGTGCAGTGTTAGCTCCTTATCTACAGTGTATGGCTCAGCCATAAATTGATCTCTGCAATAGAAACCTAACACATTCTTTACTTACACATTCATTAGTACACAATTAGCACATAATGTGATCCTTTTTACATTAATATAACAGGTCACTACACTTTGTTACAGATAATGGTGGCTCTTTTTTACTGAAACTGTTCAGCAACAGCTGATGTCACTTCAGCTGAACCCCTTTCAGAAAATCCCCATATTGGTTACAAAGTATTTTTTTTCACTCCATCAGGTGTTGCTTTCAAATAATTATTATTAATATTATCTCATTCATAAACCCAACAGATGGATTGTCCTTACCTACATGTAGATGAAAAGTTCCTAAGTATACTCTATGTACTGGACTCAGTTGCAGTTGTCATTATTGCCAGAATATATCTAGACAGCCAACAGGTCCATCCTGTTGTTCCTGCTGCATCCCTCTGGCTAAATCTCTCAGAAACTTCTTTGCCACGTCGTCAGTCCCTCGCCTTGTCTGTAGGATATCCAACAGAAAATCTGGCTTGTGACATTTGAGGTCCTTCCGGTCTCTGGCCCCAGCACTGGCTCCGTCGTTGGGCACCGGCTGGTCTTCTGTGTTGTTCCTCTTGACTCTCCACACCTGAAACAAGAATTTAAAGAACTGTCATATCGCTAGTCATCTTTATCTTTCCTAAACCTCATCAGATTCTGTACAAAAGTCTGCTCGCACACTGCAGTATTTCGATGTATATGAGAGATGTATATACATGTATTGCCTGTCTTGACCATTGCATTTTTGTACGTTAACTCTTGGCACTTCAGGGAGTTTTATCCTTGCTGTGTAAGGTTTGCTAAATAGGTACATGTATCAGGAATAAAGAATATTGTGCATAAAGAATACTCGTGCAGTGGCCAAGTGGATCCTTGCCTTGCATTCGGTAGGTCGTGAGTTCGATCCCTAGCCGAGTCATACCAAAGACTTCAAAAATGGTGCATACTGCTTTCTCTGCTTAACACTCAGCATTTGAAAAAGAGTGTGGGAGTTAAACACACCACTACCAGCAGACTAGCCCCCTGCTGTAGTGATTGCACAATCGTGTGGCTCAAGGGCTAAGAAACAGAGATGGGCGCCGCCATATGTGACCATGCTGATGGCTGCAGGAGGGCTTTAACTAACTAACTAAAGACTAAGCTTTAACTTCCAACACTTGGACTACAGAAATGGAACTTACCCCAAATATTTGGTTGACTCCATCAACCTTGTTCACGGAATGGACCCGTCTACTCTTGAAATGAGACGTCAGAGACATGTGACCTTAGTAGTATTGGAAGTTTAATCTAAGTAGTCTTTATTTCATAATGACTTGTACAAACACAGATGAACTTTCATGCTAACTAACTAACCTCAATGTCAGTGAAGCGGTACAGGTGGGTCTCGGTGCTGGCGAACACGTCGGGATCGTTGTCCGGGGTTTGGAGCCCAGGTGTGACGCGCGGGTCACCACCCTCCAGCCGCTCAGGGAAGTGGTAGCTGGAATCGGGGTCAGACTCCGAGACGGAGCGGAGCCGGCTGCTGTTTAACAGGGAAGACACCCGCTTGTCCTCCGGTTGGCTGGACTCTGGAGGAGGGTAACGTTTATGCAAATTAGTTTCCCATCTATGCAAATCAGGAGTTTCCTGTATATGCCGCAACATATTCTTCTGACTTTAGATTGTGCTAAATTCTAAAAAAAGGCTGGTAAATGACAATATTGAATTTGAAGTACCGGTAAGCAGCATCCATTAATAAAAAAATTCTATCATTGAAGTTGGTGTATGATGATGATGGTGAATGATTGAACAGCAAAGCTATTTATTCGCAACCACTTGTTTGACAAGAGCCAAAGTTTTTAGCCAAACATGACAGATTTTCATCGAAATCTCAGCTCATGTTAAACATGTGGTTGTGAATGAAGAACTTTGCTATTCAATATGCAAGTCATACCTGACAAGTGTCCTTCCTCCACCTCGGACAGGTCAGGTTGCCCAGTCCCAGTCTGTGCAGCGGTACCTGTGGCTAGTACAGAGGTGGGCCGACTCACCACCACTAACTCTGGTAGGGGACCCGCCAGGCTGGAGTTTTCACTCAGGACGTTACTCCCTGTGGGGAGGGATAGACGAAAACGTACAACAAAATTTGACTTTCTCACCCCAACCCAATTTAAAAACTACTATCACAAAATAAGAAATCAGAGATTTCAGACCACTGGGAAGTAAAAGAGTAACTCTACGCACACTCCTGGCAGTGTTGAGTTTTGAATGTCTTCATTAAGGCACTCTACTGACTTAATCTCTTTACATGTACATCCTTGCCCCAAGTGCAAAATAGTGGACAAAACCACCAGTTTTAAGTTTCAGAGGCTTTTACGGATTATGGTGTAGAATTTGAAATATTGCGAATTCAAAAGGGACCCCCCCCCCCAACCTCCAGCAAGTAACTAATGTTAACAATATGTTGAGTTTCAGATGTCTTTATTGACCTTCTCCCTTGCCCAACCAAGAGCTGCAAACAAAACCACCAGTCTAAGTTTCAGAGGCTTTTGTGGTAGATGGTATTGAAGTTGAACTAACTTGGTAATGTCAACAAGCGTATCATACAACATTCCCTTGTCAGACGGCAGTGACGCAGTTGGAAAAGTTGCCTGTAGGCTACAGATTCTTGGGCACGGAGATTCTTACAAAAAAGAAGCCATGAACAAGAAAGCAGTGCTTGTGATCCTGGCAGTCCTGGTGCCTCTGCTGCAGGCTTCAGGGGAGGTGACTGATGGAAAGTCTGGGAACGGCCCTGTCAACATTAACTTCAACCTGCCTGGGTATTACCTGGGAGGAGGGGACATATTCACTGCCAGTCGGGTAGGTCTTTTCCCTGTCCTTACACGTGCACTCTGGTCCATGAACACATTTTAAAAACTAAATGGAAAATTCTCTTTGAAAAAAAGTGCGTCATTTCCATTTCAGGAGAATCTTCTTGCTGAGTTGCAGGGCCAGGTGAGGGATATGGAACTGAAGAACGCTGATCTGACAGACAAACTCACCGACTTACAGGAGCAGCTCAGGAACGTGACCACTGAGCTCTGGCTCCATAAGAAAGGTCAGTCTTGCAACATAATTTATACATGTACAGTACAATTCAATTCAACTACAAAACAGCTATCAGTGCAAACTATGCAATTAGCTTGGAAGTTTTTAGAAGTCACAGCTGAAAGTATACCTTACGATTTCACGTACAATTGTACAGTAATTTTTTTCAGGGGGCCTGGGGTGGGGGGACTTACTTCGGCAATAGATGGGAAATTAGAAATTAGATATTAGAAATTTTTCTAATATGAGTTTTAAATCCATGGTTGTATTAAATAAAAGTGGTCATACGGTAACCATGGAACTGCAAATTCACACGTACAGTGCCTCTGAAAAGAAAATCTCTGAGACTACCAGGTATCTCAAGATTAAATATCATAGTTATTGTATGAGTTGGATAACAGTTTAACTTTCTTCATGTATTTTACCAACTCAGATGAACTTTCATGCTAGCATAGCTATTGTAGTTATTTAGTATGAAGTATTTTCTTATCCTCTCTATACCCTACAGCCTGCTGTAACAAGACACTGGTGTGTCCCAGTGGTTATGAAAAGTTCCTGGACAGGTGCTACAAATTCTCCACTGACAAGAAGAACTTCACCGATGCCAGGTCCACCTGTCAGGCTGCCGGGGGGCACCTGGCTATGCCTAAAGACAAGGCAACAAACGACTTCCTGGTCAAACAGATCAAAGCTAAGAACATCTCTGAAATCTGGATTGGACTGACAGACCTGGTGACAGAGGGAACCTTTGTGTTTGAGGATGGGACGTCACTCAGCTGGTCCAACTGGGCGCAAGGCATAGGGGCACCTTTTGCTTACCCCGACTATGACTGTGTTGCACTGACCCCCTACCAAGGCGAGTGGGGTACTAGTTATTGCTCCATGACCGCTACATATGTGTGTGAAGTGAGTGCTACTGTTTCACATTAGACAAGTACAAAGTCACAAGCCATGGCAAGTACTGACTTTGAAGTTAAATAAAAAAGAAACTAATACATGTAATTGTGTTCATGTGTCAGTTTGAAGACATGTGACTGTCTAATTATGTTTTATTGTCAAAGTGTGTTTGTACACCATCGCAAGGCATACAAATTTACATACTTTGGTATATCGAAGGTCTTGTTTGAGTTTGGAGAAAATGAATGTTTTATTTCTAGAAAATGGCCCGTAAACTACCTTGAGACAAACAAAATGTACATGAGTTGAAAGCCCAGTAAAATGGGAGCTATATATATATAGTTCAAGATCTACATGACTTTCGTACATGTACCCCTTGGATTTACTCGTGATATGCAAACTAAGTATGCTGTCATGTCTAGAACTACAACTCAGTATCTCAGTGACACTTGTGACCCTATTCATTTGTGATGTGACATTTTGTGATGTGACGTTCTGTGATTTCTTTTCTTGGATAAGCATTACTGATAGATTTAAAAATCTACTCTTCCTGGATTCCATTCATAAAAAAGCATTGTACATAATCATATACTACACACTGTGTAAATGTTAAAACTGTGTGTGATACAGCTAGTTGTCACAGGAGCAGCAAAACCTGTATTGAACATCAACTACTGTAAAATACTATGTAATAATAAATTATCAAGTTTGTCTTTTGGTAATTGTGTATGTTTTTATTTTACTTTAATTGGCTTTCTTCGAATGAATGAATGATTTCTTTTAAAAAAGTACATAATGTACATTGCGGCCATAGGCTGAATCAGGTACTATTTACAATAGCGCACTAACAACACACATGATGCCTTAAAGAGAGATATTGTAGAACATACTTGTACTAGGTATCTTTATTTGCTTGAAGATTGATTTTAGTTTTGTTGGTTAACTCACCTGCTCTGCTGTTGTCCTCCAGTACAGACCTGATGACACCGCTGTCCAGGAATGCCTGACACAGCAGGATCGCTTTCTGCTCGAGGTCATCATCTTCTTCATCGTCATCTGCAGGAAAAATATAGTGACTGTCTAAGTCTTTAAAAACAACAGTACCGGGGCTCGAAATACTTTTTTCTTCATTCCTGCACTGGTGCAGCTAACACTGAGAATTAACCTGCACCACTCACACTCAGAATTTATGAAATATGGATCACACTAAAAACTCTTCAGAAACCATCAGCATTATTTCTTTTATACTTCATTGGTGGTACATGTAACTGCCAATGCAGCGAATAAAAATCCACATACATCTCATCTCATGTGCAGGTTAGGTGCAGGTAGACATCGAAATATCTGCACAGCTGCAATTTTACTTGCACTAAGGTGCATATGCACCCAGTATTTTGAGCCCTGAATACGCAATCATGCAGATCGATGTATACCACACTAATGTAAAGTGTCCCTCATGCACATTCCCTTCCTTGGTTTACTCTTTTAATGCAAAAATTACATTGTAATTTCTCACATTTATACATTTGGCCCTGCATAATACGATAAAATTTCCACAGCAAAGCTATGGACCAGAGAAACCAAGACACAGTACCTGGATCTTCCTCATCATACGTATCCTCCATCTCCTCCTCCTCCTCCTCTGAAGCACTCCGGTTGTACCAGGTGGCGGGGCGGTCCTGTGTCAGCAGGCGGCTGTGCCGTAACAGCCAGTCCACCAGCTGTCTCCCGGAGAAACACTTCCGCACGGCGTGCATCTCGTGCCGCATCCAGTACAGAACCTCCAGGCTGGGCAGGCTCACGCTCTGCGAGCTCAGTCTCCGCGAAGGCACGAAATCCTGGAGGAGAAACGAGTCACACTAAGTTTCACTGCCAGCAAGTACTTGCAAAACATCCTTGTTGCCAGAAAGAAAAATCCTAGAAGAGAACAATCATGTAACAGTGATGAGGATGTTGGGATTTTCTTATACACAACCAGGGATTCTTCCAGGGTACCTTGCTTACATTTCAATGTCTATCAGACACGTGCACCTTCCTCAGAGCTTCCGACTGGAGTTCTGCTTCTCGCTGCTGCTAGTATATGTAGCCGATGTAGGTGGCGCTCTTGCAGCTATAACACAATCCCTTCCACGTTGCTTACGTTTGGGATTTTTACTTCAGACTTGAACGTTTAATTGAAGTTTTAATGGTTACATAATGATACAAGCAAAAAGCAAATAACTAATACATAATATCGGTTTGCTAAAGACTTCGGAATCCGTACCGATGGCATATTCAATGACCGAATTTTGTTTCCCTAGCCTAATATTTTTAGGGAGCGAGTATGAGAGCCCCAGTATACAAATAGCATGAAACACTCAGGCTATCGTTTCCCGCCACAAACCACGAAACCTTTGCAAACTGGGCTGGGTTCCCAGGAACAGGATGTGGCTTTGGCCAACTATTCCCACCGCGAGGAAGTCTCGCGTGTTGGGATGTAAATCAGACATTCCTCCCCTGGACCCAACCTTCATGTCATCTAACCACGCTGAGCACTCTCTACTCAAGCAGGCAGGACATATGGGACAGCAAGGTTATCTCCAAGCAGATGTCACAGTGACAAGGCATTATCCAATTGGCCAAGGAATGTCCATTTGATGGCTGCTTGGCCAATGCTATTACAACTGCCTTTTCACTGTAGGGTCTGCTTTAAGATAACACATGGGAGGTCTTTTGCATGTGATAAGTGTTGACTAGTTCTCTCGGTCCCTTTTAGTGTTGCAGAAGAAGAGTGATGAATGTCACTCCCAATGTCCGGAGGTACATTGTATATATAATATGATCTTGAAGTGTAATACATGTATATATAATATGAGTTTGAATTGTCTTTGAATATTGTTTACCTGCATATCTAACCTTCATCAACATGTTAGACAAATGACAAGATAATCAAACTCATTCAATCACTCTCACTACCCAGGTTAGCATCTGTTGTTCCCCGTTCTGAGGGTTAGATGTGCTTGCTCAATAATTCTGAGGCTTGGTGATATAATCAACAGTTACTGTCTACTACGTCTGTAAGAGTACATGTACTTAGAAATATCTAAATGTTCAATCCAAGATACCAGTTACTTTCTGTCCTAACCACTAAATCTTGGGTGGCGTATTGGACCCTCTCTGGCCAGTGGATACTGCCTGGCCAATTTGATACAAACTGTCTTTTGCCACCCTAGGATCTGCTTGGAGATTAAACAGCAGTGTAATCTCTCTGAATCCCTTGTACCATACCAAACTTGTCAGGCTCCCCGCCACACACAGGGCCTGGTGCCTCTGTCAACACCATCACACAACCTACAGCAGAGAGCTATGTACCGAACACGCCACCCTGGTCTCACCGATGACAGCCGTTTGGTAGGTGGTTAGTTACAAACCTTGGGTAAACTGTAAGTGTGTGGTGATTGGTTTTTAGTTCATAAGTTAAATACATGACATTGTACATTTTTGTTTGTTTAGCAATAGTGTTACCAGTGGATGACCTTAAAGTTTGTGAATTTGGCATATTACACCAATTTTGTACAAGCTGCGTAAGACTAGACTATAAGGTTTGAAGCACTCACATCTGGAAGGATAACTTAGTACTCTTTTTGTTAAGTGTGGTAGGATCTTCAACGTGCTTGAGGTGTGGCTCTCCTCAAACAAGGGACCTCCTGCTTTACGGTAAGACAATACCATAGGAACTGTTACAGTAACCATCCCTTGGGTGGTAAGAAACGAAAGGTTCTGAAATCTGGCAAAGCTCTGTCCCCAAACGACGTCTCTGCTGAAAGGTTGCTGCACTGTACAAGGTAGTCAACCCTTTGGCAAAGATGTTACTATTTGGAGCACAGCAGATTAAAAAACCATTTGTTTGTAGTTATCACAACAGTCAGGTCAACAGTCAGTTGGCTCACATAAAGTTCAATTTGAATGTTTGTGTATGTTGTATATCTATAGTTAAGGGTCATCTGACTGAACATGTGAACTGTTGTTTGTGGTTTGTACCATCCAAACAATGACATCACACAACAGATAGCATCGACTGTGTTCAACTACAAATGTATAACATAGAGGCCTGTTCATAACACTGAGTTTCATTTAAGCCAGGCTAGCATCATTTGTACCAGCCATATGATCATGAGAGACACTGCACAGCTAGAATTGTGGAGAATGACTGAAAAGGGCTGTAGACCACCTAGCAAGATAACAAGACAGGTGATAAAATGGTTAAATTCTAAAAGAATTATTTCATAATGTAGTGTGGTCCTCATAATTGTAACAACAATATTTTTATCTCAAGTTCTACACAGATTGTTTTACAAAATGTTGGCTTGTGTGACTCCTTCAGAGCTGCCATTTGAAAGTTCACCGAAAGTCGCCCCAGGGCTCGGTACTTCTGTTGGCAACATTTACACAACACCAGACAGCACCAGAGCTGCGCTAATCCCACACTAAGTGTACACTGGGCTATTGAATGTAAATACACAGGGGGCTCCTGGGAAAATCTCCGACTCACTGATCGAGTTCCAAGATAGGGACAGAGTCAAGTCTCGCGGACCCTTAAGTGATACTTAAGAAATGTCAGGGAAAGAAAAGTCTACTGGCAGATCACTTAAGATAACCAAAGCGACACTTTTAAAGGTCTTGAAAGGTCTTCTAAACATGATTGAAATACCAGTGGTTGGTTTGCGTTTGTTGGAAGTTTCCGATGAAGAATTTTTCGTAGCCATGGTGCACAAAACTCTTTGTTCCTTGCTGGTGTAAAAACACACAACTTTTATCACTGGTACCTGCCCCTTATGTTTATGTCAACACAAGATAAATAAATCATTAAGGGGGCATAAACAAGAGCTGCAGAAAGATCATATGCAAGCTATGTACAACATCATATGAAAGTCAAACAAGTAACTGATTCTGGACATGGAAAAAGTCTCGAGATCTTTTGAGTTGGGGCCAACACTAGGATTCAACTCACGCCCATGTGGATTCACAAAATTTGATCCATATTCATTTGCAAGGCACAATGGATCACTAACTCTAACCTACTTATGCTGCAGGGACTTGTCATCTGATCTAAAAGTAAAAGTTAGTCCAAAGCCTTACCTCTGCAGCTAGTCTCCTGTACTGTGATATCAGTTGTCTGGTTGGCACGGTGTACCACTCCAGCTCACTCAACACTCCCTCCTGGAAAATATTATGGTTACTAGTATTATGTTAAGATTGTCAGATGTTGACTACTTCTGTAATGATCATTGTTACAGACTGTAACAGTATGTAATTTTTGTTGGGTGTGCTGGAAGGGTATAGGAATTACAGCAAGGCCCAAAACAAACACTTTTTTTCTGTATATCTGCACTGGTGCAGGAAACATTCAAAGTTAATTACCTATACCAGGAACATGTGGGAAGCATGGACCATACTAAGAACTTTTCAGAAAATGAAAATTTATGAAATGTTCAGAAACCATTATTTCTCATAGGTAGTGACAGTCAAAAATTCACATACACCTTCATTTGTATATAAACTTGGCATGTGGACTGGTGCAGGTTAGGTGCAGGCCTAGGCAGACATCAGAAATACCTGAACAGCTCCAATCTACCTCCACTAACCTGCATAATTACACAGGTGGCATTTCAAGCCCTACAGGTGTACAAGTGTACATTGTACAGGTGAGTTGTACTTACAGCAGGTGCCATGAGGTTCTCCAGGTCCAGCCCTTGTCCCTCTGCATGTACAAACTGCACCAGGAACTAAAACAACAACAACAGACAGAACCAACTGTTAATATATGCAGTAACTCTTCATGCTTAAGGTTACATTTCCAAACCAGGGCCTGGCCGGGCTGTTTGCATCAACGAAAAAAATAATTTATATCAATAATATACACAAATAGTGCCTCAAGATTACTTCTTTTAACTTTCTTTTATGTTTGTTGTCATTTATATCATACTTTTGTTGCTGAAAACTGTCTGGGCAGGCCCCAGGTTAGGAGTTGTGACTTGTAGAATCTGATGGTCTTTTGTCTGAACATAGTATTTGACAATAAGCTCTAAGCTTGAGCATGGCAACAATGTGTATGTAATAAGTGTATGTATCTTGTCTTTGTTTTTTTTATAATAAAAAAAACATAGAAACATACTGCAACAGCCTGAAGAAGAGTCTTGGCTTTAGCTGCAGAGTTTTTCTCATGCTTCAGTTTGGCTGCCTCCTCTTCAAAGTCCTGCAGTAGAAAATAACAACAATATTCTTTTTCAAAATATCAATACTCATCTGGCCCTAGTATGCTCAGAACATGAGATACAAAAACATATCAAATACATTGAACGGAATATAACATGTGTAGGTTAGTGTGCCTTTTTCTCAGTAGTGGCAAGGAATTGGAGATTGTAGAACAAGGGGTATTTCAAAACCTATTACAGTCAGATAAGCAGAGCAAGATGGAAAGAAAATGTAATGGTCTTACATGTATGTCTTGCAAAGGATGAAGAGTATGATGAAGTAAGCATTAACTAAATCCTCATCTTTACAATGAGTTCCCAGATGGAAAGAAAAAAGTCATTGTCTTATGTCTTGCAAAGGATGAAGATGTAAATGAGTAAGTCCTCACCTTCACGATGAGTTCCCAGATGGACTTCTGCAGTTTGGGCACGCAGTCGGAGTACAGCCAGTCCGAGCAGGCCTGGAAGTGATTGGACAGGAACTCGACCAATGGCTGTAGCCGCTGCTGGATGGTGTAACCGTACAGGGGGAGGGACAACAGGAGGGACAGGGCCTGGTGGAAGAACAGGTTTATCTGGAACAGAAACAGACATGTTTAAAGTTAAAACTTTTTTTTCTCAACACAAAGAATAGTTCTCACCTACTAGTAGACCTTTTGACCAGTCACTCTATAGCCAGGTGTGTCATGCCGAAGGGCGGTTACATGTATACCCGCTCTACTAAATCTTATAGTATACAGAAACAGACATTACCATACCAGTATGTCTGCTGATAGCTGCAAATGATACAGAACAACATCAAGATAACAGTGTTTCACAGTGCCCCCTTGTGATACCAATGAAAACTGCAGGATTGAGGCCTGACTAAAAAAATCATACTGACAGGTACAGTTTGAAGAATCCTAAAAGGAAGAGTAGGCAAAAGTTTGACGGACATACAATACATATCAATTTCCCTCCCCACACACAAATTTAACTCATTCATTTCTCATGCAAAGTTCTAAATGTTAAATACAGTCAACAGTATTACTCCTACATTGTACCTTGTAAGCAAGAAGCCTGATCAGTCCGTTCCTGACCCTGTGCAGGTGCCACCTGACGTGGCAGACAGCCACCGCTCTGTACGGAACGTACGCAGAACGATTCCCTCGCTTTCCCGACCTCTGACCCGACGACGACCTCCTCTCAGACGCCCTCTGACCCGGTGACCCTTCCCCTGCCGACCTCTGACCGTTGCTGACCTGCCTGGTGGGACTGGGGTGGGGGGTGCTGCTGCTGTGACCGGTGCCATCCCGGTCACTGTCTGTCCAGGGGGAGGTGGAGGGGGTGCCAGGGGTGCACAGGTCCACTACTACGTAGTCTGTACGGAAGTGAGAAGTGAACACTGTTCATGAAATCTGATTGACTGTGAGTGTTTTTATTAGTAATTTACCACTAAGGGAAGGAAGGGTGTCTATGTGTGTGTGTCAGTGTGTGTGTGTGCGTGTGTTTCTGTACCATATGTACAGTTCCTGCCATCAGCACATACATATTATGTAGTTTGTACGACAGTGAGGAGTCATCAACTGTGTACCGGACTGGGAGGGGGGAGGGTAAGGTGATAGACAGAAAGTACAACAAATAGTCACACTGGATGAATGAGTATTTCTAGATCAGAAAGTGAGAGGAATAAAAATTCAAGTTCAGATTGAGAAAGAGGAAACTGATGACTGTTCTCATCAGTAGCTGAAGAAAGATGCTGCCTGAAAGCTTCTACCCTTTGACATTTGTCAGTTGTGTGCATTATTCTAAACCCTTCCTGATGCTAAGATGTGGACAGCACCGACCTTCATTGACAGCATCCTGACAGCGGCTGTCCTTGCAGCTGATGCTGCCGACGGCCTTGTGCAGCAGCTCGTCGACCTTGGGCAGCACGTCCAGAAGGGCATGGATGTTGTTGATACGAACACACATCTAAATAAACAAACAACAAACAATAACAAATCACATGTCAATAAACACATAAACAACAATGACAGAACTCTCATTGATGAAGGTTAGACATTCAAGAAACACGATACACAAGAAAACTCACTCAAGCAGATAGATTTTTTAGATGTTTCACGTAGTATCCACTACTTTTTGTCAGTGACTAACACTAACATGATCTGTAGTTGAACAGTTACCAAAAAACTGTTTGATATCCAAAAGGGAAAAATGTTCACAGTTTTTAGATAAACAGTTTTCAACTACAGATTCCGTTCACTGGCAGTTTTCAAAATGTATCCAGTTGTTTGAGTAACTGTTACCTCCGTATCTGATTACCTGGATGTCTAACCTTCATAACATGTAATCTATTTGTAGTCAATTATTTGTAGTCAAAATCTTTACAGGTTTTACCTATATGGCTATAATAGGCAACAAATTGTGAATAACAGAACTCATTTGAAATATTAGCCTGGGCACAAATTTCACACAGACACAGAGAACTGGCCTCACCTCTTCCGTGACGGGTTCGAAGCTGTCACACAGGTAGTTTGCCTGTTTGCTGAGGTACTGGAAGCAGCTGGTCATGCCGGTCAGCATGTGTCGGCAGCCCCACGTCGCATAGTTCTCCTTCTCTCCCATCAGGTGCAGAACCATCTGGGGTGGAATACAGTAAACATTACATCTGTGAATAAGTTCATCAGAGTGCACGATGGTCATATTCGGGCCCAAATATTCCAACCTTTTAATCGAACCGAATCATGTTCGATATGACGTCATTCGAACCGAATCATGTTCGATATGACGTCATTCGAACCGAATCATGTTCGATATGACGTCATTCGAACCGAATCATGTTCGATATGACGTCATTCGAACCGAATCATGTTCGATATCACGTCATTCGAACCGAATCATGTTTGATATGACGTCATTCGAATCGAATCATGTTCGATATGACGTAAGTCTAACCGAACATTCGTTCGGGTCACCCGCTGTCATGTACAGTGAACCCGCGGCTTCATGCCCGTTTTTACACGGGTACCACCAAACAGTAAAAAATCAACTTTTTCACAAATATAAACCAATTTCGGGACAGTACATCTTTGCCCTGTTTTACAGTTGAAATGTAACATGTAACGAAGCTACTGCCGTCATCGTGTGTGACTGTGAGGATCGTAATTTGCGGGGATATAAGTTACCCCTGCACTTACTCACACGGCCTGACATGCGTGCAAACATGGTATTTAAACCGCAACAAAAACAAATTCAATTTACCTCAGAAACGTTTTAAATTGTAGGCAAGACACAAATCTCGATCTGTGTCGAACGGATTTTTTAAAGATGGCGGCATCTTGGAATTATTGGTCTTGGAAGTTGAAAAAGTGTATTTTTTGGCGAATTTTTCGACCTTAGCAACACTTTAACTTTGAAATAAAGAAAACTGTCCGACTCAAATCTTAATCTTGTTATACTGTTCTCTAAAATACAAAAATGTGGGATTTTCTGGGAGATTTGGGGTTGGTTAAAATCAGTTGTTTGGTTATTGACGTTGATTGTTATAGAATAAGCATTTGACGCGTTGAGAGTGATTTCACACACATTAAAGCATTGTAATAAAAACAACATCATATGAGGCATATGCAGTGCTGATTTTATCACATTTGGACAAGAGAGTCCCCGTGAAATTATTGTTTAAGAAAATATTCACCTTTGACTCTGAGACTGGTTCCACGGAAGCCGCCCGTGGAACCCTGGTAACCACGTACCCTTCCGTAGAATTGGAAACTTTACCCTAGAAATTGACCACCGTGTTGGTAAGTCACTTTTTTTACCAATTTTTACCAGAAAGAAATAAAATTTATAGAAATGACGGTATTGAAACAAAATTCTGTAATCCTTGATTCCTGTTTTATCAGTCCACCACTTAACATTGAAAAATATCCATCTTTGATTATTTCTTCTTCCTTTTAATGCCCACGATCATCATACTGATCATTCTGGCATTGCCAATATACAACCCCCTTTGCATTATAAGTGCAAAGTCAGATAGACCACAACAGGAACAACAGACAGACCAGATAGAGAAAGAGAGAGAGATAGTACAAATGTATATTATCAATCCTATGCCTAAGCCACACCAATTTAATTTGTTGCTTCTCGGATTTTTTCAGAAAAATATGGAGTGACAGGGCGAAATAAAAATAAAAAAAAACAGGCCAAGGCACCCCATGATAGCCGGAAATGTTACAATATGAGCCACGAAGTTAACATACCAGGCTGGTTTGTAATTAAAACAATAGATTTTGAACTTTTAATGGAACAAAATTACATTGTTACATTGAAAAACTTTAAGAACTCGGAAGAAAAGGACTTTCTTCAACCGTTGGGGCCAAAATATATCTTTCATTGAGCATTTTGCAGTTAATTCAGAACAATTTTTTTTTTTTTTTGCATCTCAGAAAAAAATTGACACCTGGCGATCCGAGAAGCAACAAATTAAATTGGTGCATGTGGCCCTACCATGGTGCCCAGCAGTTCCCTGGCAACATGGTCTGGTGTTGCACACAGGTCCAGGCAGAGAAGGTTGTCTCCATACAGGCACAGCACTGACGAAAAGACCTACACATGTAGGTGACAAGACAAAATGGCATGTTTCACAAAAAGCAAAACCTCAAGTCATCAATTTAATAACACTGTAAAGAATAATGGCTAATTCACATAGTCAGACCATGATGACATGATAGTGACTATGCCGTAGTAACTTGCCACAGACACTTTATAGTAGGTTTGAATCAGTCAACATTTTTGGGGTCAACTGCTGGCAAGGCAGATTTTCAATCTGTCATCTGAATTTCATACCCTCTAAAATGTTATTTAAAGTTTTAAGAAGCAAAATGCAGAAAACAGGAGAATCCTATTTTTTCAGGACCTAAATCGATCAGAAACACAGGTCTCACCTGAAGCAGCTTTTGGTACAGTCCATATCTGATTTCTGTGACCAGTTTGTGAGCATCTTCCAGTCCGTCCTGCTGACCTATGACCTCTTCCGCATCAGTCTCCACCTCTGAGATGGGGACGAGAATGGACTCATCCGGACACAGAACCTGGGGTTAAGACAGAAACAACAGATTCATGGTTTGTGGTATCCTAAGTGTAACCAGAAGGCTATGTTTTGGCTATGGTGGAGTGACTGTACATGTAACTGTAGGCGGCATAACTCCAGGACCTGAAACCATGTATGGATGTTCATGATTTTTGGTAGGCAAGTTAGTGTTGGGGAGGCAAAGGTCAAGTTCAAAAATGCGCCTTATGACGGGTTTCTATGTCACTGCAGAGGACCATCTGTGTTAGTTGGTTTGTTTGTTTGTTTGTGAACCAAGAAGGACTACCAAGAACAGTATAAATCAAGATGCTATGGATGGATCATGACAAAGCAACAAGAACAGATTTGTGGTTTGTCAGGTTATTACCTCAGAGTATGGAGGTATTGTTTTGTGTTTATCTGTGGGTTTGTGTGTGTGCTCGTCTAGCAGAGATGGACAGCGCAAAATAAAACTGTCACAATAGAAATAGAAATTCATTTTACTGTTACCGTTCTTACCTTACACAGTGTCTCCACAAACTCAGCTACTCTCCTGATCATACATATTACATCCACATACGACGCCGACAATGGAAGCACCTTGATCTTTCCCTCCCTGCTGTCTGAATCTGTCGCGGTGTCGAAACTGGACAGACTGGCGAAACTGTCGTCAACACTCCCACTGTACGTCCTGTCCCTGTCTATACCATTCTGTAAGCCTTCTGGTAGGGGTTTGTCTGTGGAGTTTGAAGTCCTACTCTGACCCTCTTTCACTGTGTCTGTCCCCAGAGTTCTATCAACTTTGGTAGAATCCGTTGACTTGTTGCTTGCTGCCAAAGCCTCAGGCCTTTTGATAGGCATGTCACTAGAAGAGAACCCTTGGAAACCCTCCATAAGGCTCACAAACTCTAGAGGTGGCAGTCCGACGTGCTGGTCTTCAGAGTTGTCTTCAGATCCACTTGCTGCTGTTTGTTGCGTTGCAGCTTTCTGGCCTTTCTGGTAGTCCTCAAAAAACCTGAACTCGTCGTCTGAACTACAGGAGTCTTCGCTCGAGTCCAAGTCCATTCCGTAATCTGCAGATTCCAAAGTTCTTCTGGAAGACTGCTTGTCTCTCTTCACAGTTTTTGGTGTTTTGTTACCGGAGTCTTCTGCCACTAGGGTGGAATTGGCAGAGTGCTGCTGCAGGTCTGGCTGGATCTGTGTATCTACTAGAGTTGACTCGGAGGACGCTGTAGTAGCATCAGCAGCATTTGACACTGGCATGTCCCCATTCTTCTCTTGACTGTCATCTTCCATGTTTTCCACTGTGGACACCTCGATGAGCATTGAGGCAATGGACATCTTCTCTGAGGCGGTCTCGTAGCTACCGACGGGTAGAGACACATGCCGGCCAGGGTCAGTCCTGAACGACAATGAAGACTGATTCTCATCATCATCATCGTCATCATCACGCAAATCATCTGGCAAACTCATGCTCCTCTGGGGCATTCCTGGTGGTGGAAGCTTCTCATTGGCTGATAGAGTCACATGATGGTTACCTCGCTCCTGATTGGGCGAGAGCGTTCCCTCGGAGCTGGGTGGTTTGGGTGTAGATGAAGCAGAGTTTGGGGTGTGCATCTTTGGTGAAGAAGTGATGGAAGAGGTCACGCTGTTGAACGCAGAGTGGAGGGAGGGGGTCAACGACCTGCCGACCCTTGACCTGAGATGGTGAAGCATGACCTTAGTCGGAATGTTCTTGTCCATGACTGTTAGAGGCTTGTACTGTGGGAAACAAGATGAAATCTTCAGAAACTTTTGACACAAAGTATGCAAATTAATACTGATTGTATTCACTAACTATTATTAGTTTTGTGTATTTATCTAATATACATGTATCCATATAGTGAATGAGTACCCAGTGTCCTAGCCATTGCCAGAGTCCGTCTTTCCATCATTTGATAGAATTTTGTTGCTCATGATGGAAAAAAAGTTTGCCCCAATCCGTCATTTTTGATGGATAAAAATCAACACATAAAGAGTTTCAACTACTGTAAGCTTAGTCTAAGACTATCCTATCTATTCTTCCATTGTACTAACTGGCTATTTTTCCCTGAGCTAAAAGAAGCTACTGTCAGTTACTTGAACTGACCTGAAGGGGGTGAGAAAGAAGAAAAAAATTTATGGCTGTCGGTGGCAAATGTGCCAATGTTGACACATTGGTGCACCAAATTTGTAGTGTGTTTTTGGCACACAGTTAGACAGAGTAACCTTAGAGGCTCGGTGGGCGTAACTCTACCTCACAGGGAGGGAAGACAATGTAAAGTGCCTTTCCCAAGGGCACAACATTGGGCCACGGTGAGTTATTGGTTCTGAGTCCAATGCATCAGGCTAGAAATAAAAAAAAAGAACAATTTTTGTCCAGACCTTGTCCGCCCCCACAGCCTGCACCACCAGTGTCTGTACGTCTTCCTTCATCACCTCCAGCCAATGGAGGGCCTGCGTCAGGAACGAGCGCCGCCAGCGCTGCTGACTGGAGAAAAAATATGGTGCAGGTCTTAGTGGCAAATCTTAGCACATTGGCGACACCAAATCCATCTGTGTCCTCATCAACGTTGGAACACAGTATCAATGGTTAGCCAAAAGCCCCGGTGGGAGTCACTCCACAGTACAGGAGGGTACATGTAAGTGCCTTTCCCAAGGCCACAACATTGGGCAAGTCAGGGGATCAAACATGGGGCCGCTGACTGTAGAGGAAAAAACCAAAGACCTGATAAGAGTTTGTGCTGCGAGGCACTGACAACAATGTGCAGTCTCTGTAAAAAAAACTTTTTAAAAAGCTGATGGAGCTATTTACACCATTTACAGGTTCATTGTACCAGGGAACTTCCCCTAGCTCTGTTTTGACATGCACAATGAAGAGTGGCCCATTACTACTAAATCATAGTAACATCTACCAATTTGTGCCTGCTAGGATTTGCTCTTCATTACCTGGGATGTATGTAGTTGGCCAGGTCTTCATCCAGCTGGTTCAACCGGTAAGCCAGGCTCAACATCAGGCGATCCTGCTCAATGTCCTATGGGGGCATGGACAAGATCATATCAGTACTGTAACAGTACAACCTCATCTGACAACATCAGACCAAGGACAATATGTAAGTCTTACAGCACAAAAGATACTGTGTGAAATAGGCAAATTGGACAAGTATTTTAATTTGGTACATGAATTATGCAAATCAGCCAGTTGGAGAAATTGTGTTTCGATCAAGATGTACCCTCTGCATCTCTCCTTGGTGCTGATTGGCTATCCATTATACCTTCACCTGTGCTGATTGGCTATTTCATTAAACCTTCAACTGTGCTGATTGGTTGTCCATTCTATCTCTCCTTCGTGCTGATTGGCTATCCATTAAACCTTTCACTGTGCTGATTGGCTGTCCAGTCTATCTCTCCTTGGTGCTGATTGGCTATCACATTAAACCTTTGGCTGTGGTGATTGGTTATTGAATTAACCATTCTTTGGTACTGATTGGCTGGTCATTCCAACTTTCCTTGGTGCTGATTGGCTATCCCATTACACATTCAACTGTGCTGATTGGCTATCCATTATATCTCTCCTTGGTGCTGATTGGCTATCCTATGTATGCTTCTACAGTGTTGAATTGGCTTTTTTCCCAGAGAAGAAAGTAGTTCCAACTTACAGGAGACCCGAGGCCCTGTTCACACATGGTGACAACATCCTCCATGAAGAAGCTGTAGTACTCTGTAGCAGCAAGCTGGACCATGTCAAAGTACCTGACAGGGGCAAAAAATACATTACATGTCATAGAAATGCATGTTTATCTGAGTCAAAATGTCAGAAGTAGGATTAATTTACTCTGATTGTAAGCCACCCAAAACAATACTTCTGTACTAGGAATTCGAAGAGACGACCAAGAAGTGTACTTACTTGGAGAACACTTGCTGGAAGTTCTCCTTGTAGTCTTGGATCTCATCACGGATGTTGATCAACAAAATGTTTAACTGTGGGGAAGATACAATGTCACATACTTGAAGAGTTGAAAACTTTGAGATAATGACTGAAAGTTTTCTATTACAACTCTACGTTGTTGAATATTAGCTATACTGGTCATTTAGAATTTAATTAATTGTTAATTTTGGTGCAGTCTTAGAATTAGATATAACAGCAAAAACATTACATATAACAGGAAATACATCGTAACTGTATTTTCTGTTGTATCGAATTCTAATTCTAAGACTTCATGATTTCAGAGACTGCTGCCCACCCCTGTGTCAGGGACCCACACAGCCTATAGCAGTGTAATCAAAGACTGGATACTACTACTACATGACCTACCAGTTTAGGAGACAGTCCAGGCCCATAGGTGTGCAGCTTCAGCTCGTTCTGAGCCAGTGTCTTGTGCCTCTCGTAGCTCAGGGCCAGACGTTCCTTTGCGTACTGGACCAGCCACTTCTGGACTCCCCGCATCTTCCGACCAGTCAGTAGCTCTTTTACATTCAGCACAACCTCCAGCAGGTCAATCAGGGAGGCTGTAGTTTGGTACAGAGTTTGTGATTGGTTACAAACAAAGCACAGTAGATGTGTGTACCTGAAGGCTCATACCCCATTTACAAATCATGGCAATTTTTGTATTCCTTGAAGAATAATCTCTGGCAAACATTGCAGTATTGTGATCCCTCAAAATGCAGAGTTTGGAAGATATACAAAATCATCGCATTTTTTGATTCTCAAGGAGTACAGTCATGGACAGGTACATGTAGGGGCAAAAAACAATCATAGACAATCACAGTGAAAATGGTTTGTTAGCTTCTGCAGTCTATACAACTTTTTGACTAGAGTTTTCCAAAAATCAAATCAACAAAACATTTTTGGCTAGCCTATGTAAGGACCCCGCATAGCAAGTCGGATGGCAGTAGGCTAGAAATTAACTGTATCATTCTTTAAATTCAAACTCCTGGATGTTTAACTCCACTTGGCATCCATCCTTACCGACAGCATGCGGCGGTTTGTTTTCCTTGAAGAGCCGTTTGATGCGGGTGAAGGCGTTCCCACACTGGCCATGCAGCAGCATCACAGAGTTCTCTAGTACTGTCAGCTGGGGGGGATGGAGAACAACCACATTAGAAAAAGATGCAGTCAGATACAGGAGGGCTACTTCACCAGGCACATGGGGAATTAGCAGGAGGTATAAAAGCAAGGTGTGCTAGAGGGGGTATGGTAATATCATGCAGTAAAGTAATCTATGATATACTTCAAATGAAATTTACATTCAAATTCTAATTTAAAAAAACATTTAACTCTACGATACACTCTTCCGTCTTTCAAAATAAAACTCTTTCAGCAAACACCTACACAAAAAGAACAGTACATTCAACTGTTACTACATTTAATCTCAGGCTATCCTCCTGTGCTTTCACTATTCAAAGGATTTTTCTACACTATGGTATGTCCGAACAAAAATTTGGATCAATGGTTCCACATTGAATGCATACTATATACCATATGGCATAACATTTCACTACATTTTAGTTATAACATAGAAAAGTAAGGCCTGTTGAGTTTTGCTCTGACCTCTTGTTTGACAGTGACCATGGTGCCGGCGTGGACAGGCAGGATCTCCATGATTTTACTCAGCGACTCCGTCACATGCTGGATGTACCACGTGTCCCAGCTCTGCTCAAGGTTACTGACAAAAAATAATTTTCTTTAAGGTTTAAACTTTAAGATTTGATTTAACTAGAATTGCTTTATATAATGCATATGTTAAATTTCACATGGCCTCAAAGCCAAAAAAAATACTGCTATCTCTATTCTTACTAAAAGGCATTGAATTTCATATTAATAGCATATGTTCTGCCACTTTGCTACGTTATCCAACACCACAGGGTCACACATTGTATCATAAATTTGATTGATTCTTAAAACCCATTGATAGAATAGTAGTTGACTTACTTAGTGAGGTGTTCCAGGTACACAATCCTAGTGAAGAGTTCTCCCTGCAAAATCAAACAAAAAAAATCTCATTTTGTTGTGTGTATCATTTAAAATACTAAGTATTCGTTAAAAGTATCTCTCATTTATATACAGCTTATACTTGAATGTCATCAAACTCATTCTCAGTCAGTGATGGAAGACAGTTGATGCTATCTAGATCTCAAACGTATAACTTAATACAATAGAATTTCTGGGATTCCTAAGAGGGTACTTGGAGAGTTTGCCAGAGTAATAAATGTTTTTTTGTTGGTAAGTATTCTGTGAAGTAGCATGCATTCTTTTGCTTCCTAAAATTTCCTGAAATAAGAGATCCTTGTAATACATGTAACGTTACCTTCCATACAATGCACATTCTACATCTATCCATATACACTGAGTCAAGCCAAGCACCATAAAGTGTGCATGGACAGTGTCTTACCACCCCATATCTGAGAGAGAACTCCTTGAGAAGCCGTTTGCTAGTTGAAGACAGGATACTCTGGGGTTTGTCTTCTCCTGAGGAGCTCAGATCCTCCTTACACGCCTCCTCATATCTGGAAGAAAAAACAATTATTTCTCTCAAGATGATAGGAACTAACATGACCTATTAATATGATAAGAACAAACAAAATGCTGTACACATAAAAGCATTGACTCAAATTCTTCAATCTATATTGTAGGATTATAATTCTGAAACTTAGAGGTTACAGTCAAAAATCAAAGCTTCACATATTTTGTACAGTAAGTATTTTCAAGCAGCCTGTAACAGAACCAGCCTTGTTGGCAACAAGACAGTTTTATTTTGCAGGGCACATGCACAACTATCCAAGAATGAGCTCAATTTGAGATCATACAATGACTGTAACCAGGCTTAAACCTACGAAACCCCAGCATGCTCCTTACTTGATGAGTTTAGCCATGAGGTTTTTGTAGTCGGTGTGATGGTCCCTCAGGTACTTGTGAGTGGAGGGCAGGGGAGGGGGGAGGGCGAAGTGCCAGAACTTCCCGATCAGTCTGGTGATGTTCTGTCGCTCTGTCTGCTGCCAAAAGTCGTACGCGTTCGTGCTCTGTAGGGACGATAGCAGTCAAGATGAAGTTACATGTGACTACACGTAAAGCATAAAATTTATGCTTGATACTGAAATGTGAAGGTAAAACTTAAAAGGTACTAGTAGTCCCATAGTCTTTTGAGGCCGTCTTACCAATGGGTTGTTGATCTATTGCATGGTATTGCAGAGCATGGTAGAGGAACTTCAAGGCAAAACAGATCCCTTTCCCTCCACCATCTTTTAGTTCCTCCCTATATATATATATATACTTAAATCAGGTACCCATTTTACACCTGGGTGGAGTGAGGAAAGTCTTGCAAGTGACATCTTGATCTCATATGCAAAGTCTCCAGTTAAAATTTGTGTGAAAGTATACTTACCAGGAAGGCCTGAGGACTGTAGAACTGGTGGCTGTTGTTTTCTAGGATGGACAGCTGGCCAACAAGCTCCTCCACTAGCAGCTAGAACAGTTAGGTTTGAAGACTTGTAATAAAGTAAAACAATCAAAGACTACACTGATGGTGAAAAATGATACAAAAACTGTGCTTCAAATTTTCTTTTGCCTCATTTTATCCACAGTTTTGAAAAGATGTTTATGCAGGATACATAAAAAACATGTATGACTAAGGTTAGAGTCTTAGACATTAAAAATTACCTCCCAAATCAAACATCGATCTTGACTGTCCCCACGTATCCAAGAATGTAGCTTTGCCCCAGGCACAGATCTGGATACACATGGACTATTCAGAACAGTGCCTGAGTTCTGGATACACAGTTCTACACAGTTCTCCATACCTTAGCAGTACTTTTGGTGTTAGTTTCGTCCCGTATGATACACAATGTATTAATCAGAACTGTGCCTGAGCATGGTTCTGGATAAAGCATGGTTATGAATACAACAATCTCCATACCTTAGCAGTACTTTTGGTGTTTGTTTCGTCCCTTATGATACACAATGTATTAATCAGAACTGTGCCTGAGCATGGTTCTGGATAAACATGGTTCTGAATACAACAATCTCCATACCTTAGCAGTACTTTTGGTGTTAGTCTCGTCCCGTATGAGCCGAGTGTACTGCAGATGTCTCTCCTGACTCAGCCCAAACGCCTGCCTCACCAGTTCACACAGGGCCTCCGGCTGCACAGGAGAGGTCAACTTATCCTCGTCTGAACTCCCACCTCCTGACCCCTGACCTGCCGACCCCTTGACTGTTGACCTTTGACTTCCGACCCCTGTGGTTTGTGGGTCAGAGTTCGGGAGGGGGCTGGAGGGGATAGGGGTGAGGGTGGGCTTGTGGGGGAACTGGAACTTACGTTGGGAGGAGGGGGAGGGGGTGTGGGGCGTGGAGGGGGGGTCGGGGGCACTGAGCACAGGGAACTGGGCACAGACCAGGGCAACTTTGTACAGCCGAAACTCCTGGAGGGGGGTGAAAAATAATTAACTTCTACAGGCGAAACATCAACATACATGTATGCAAACACACCTGGGATCAGTTGAATATGCTAATTTGAAAACAGAAAAAAAATATCAATTTTTTTTCCAAAAAAGGTAAGATATAAAAAATGTAAAATTTCATGGTGTTACCACATGACTTCCTTTAAATCTATTACCCAGAAATATTCTCGTCCAAAGGGCAAGTTGACTTAAAAATACACTTGCTCAGAACATATTTAACCTGTATGAGTATATTAAAAGTACATATTATTATTATAGAGTCATGGCCAAAAGAGAAGCTATAGGGCTGATATCAAGTAGGATTTTATCATGTATGGTCAATATTGAGGCCATAAACAGAGTCATATAAATGGAGTACAACAATTTAAAACAGTCAATCCTACCTTATCACTGAGGTGTCTGTGGGATATTCTGACTCCCCGTTTGGTTGCTGACATAGCACCTACAGTATGTAGAATGAAAGTAGAGTTCAGGACATCCAAAGCTTAATATGACCATGTAACATGTCAGTACATGTAATTGTTTCACTCACTTAGCTTCCTTTTTCATGATACAACTGTCAGAATGTCATACATGTGAGGGTTCAAATCACCACATGCACCAAAGAAAATGGGTCAGTTGGACCAAAGTCCAATACATAAAATAATGTGTTTTATTTGCTTGTATAATATTTCAACTAAACAGTGCCCATTTATGAAAAAACTGCTCACCTTCTTCTAGACTGGAATCTCCATCTTGTCTCACCTGGAAAACAGAAATCCATGAGGTTTTAACTAATAAAACAAAGAAATTCCATAATACATTTGACAGAAGAATAATACAATCATGTAGACTATGTGCATTCCGTTTAATCTGAGGTACCAGCTCAACCTTGGTTCAAATCACCCAACAACCGAATGCTACCAATTTGAAACTAACAACATAACCAGATATCATTAACATCCATCTTTGACTAGTATGAGTCTGACTTCTCTTATGCTGTGCACAGACACACAGTCACACGGCCTCGAAAATATACCAGTAACTTTCTTACCGAAGGTAACATAAGGTAACATAAACAAGATATACTCACGACTCTCATATGACTGAAGACGGTCTGTCTGCCCGCTAAACTCATGCAACAGCGCCGACTTCTACAGGAGAAAGGACAACACAACAGGTTACCACCCTGACATGTACTGTAGAGTACAGAAACTTTCTCACTGGTTTTGATATGTGTGTACTCTTTGGTTGCCAAATTAAACATATAGTGACCAGCAATCCACAGGATCACGTTGGCAGTACATACATGACCTAATTTCCACAACAGAAACATTAACCAATTCTCTGTCAATCAAATCAACAAGTTGTACATTACAGTTTTCATAGCGTGATGACAAGCATGGAGTATACCATTAAATATGGTGCTCTCAGTAATTATATATAAGAATAAAATGACTAGTTATTACAATAGTTTATAGCTGCATCAATGCAGGACTGATAAGCAACAGTACAGCATACTACTACTAGTAAATCACTTCTAGTAAGCAAATTGTTTTTATTTGGTCAACAAATTGACCTTTGTTTCATGTTGCAAAATAAAGACCTTGAAAGCTGAAGACTTTCAAGTAACTTACTAGTAGGTTCTATTATATGCATTTTAATAAAAGATAAAAAGAATACTTACTCAAGGTTTTTGAAGTAGTTGTGAATGTTCTTCAAAGTCTGTGCATGCCTATAGTATACAGTGTCAAAAAGAGATTATTTACACACAGAAAAAACAATGACACAGCTGTTTGTGTGGGAAAGTATCCAAGGCAACAACTGATTCTGAATGTGTCACATCCTACGTATATAAGGTGTGGACATAGCAGGAAAACTTCCGAGGTATCAAATGGAAGTGGTCGGCATGTCACTAAAATAATAATCAGCGGAAAGTTTTCTTGCTTAAGACGCTGTCACACATTCCGGACCTTACCCCGACTTTGCCCCCAAACACCAGCTGACCTTGGTTGACTGAAATTTGGAAGCAGTCTGACAAGATTTAGGCCACATCCACCTTTCTGTATGAATCAAATTGATTTTGAGTTAAACTTTAGTCAAATTTGACTTCCCCCGAAACCTGCTGACCTACATTTTGTACTCCTAAACACTGGTCAGCCAACCATGGCCGAACCTCCTGTCCACACCTGAAACATTCAGCTAGCGTAGCCGAATAGCTTTAGTAGATGACCTCACCAAACACCAGCCTACCACAGCCACAGCCGACCTTGCTTCCAACCTTCACCTAACCACGGTTGGGAGTGCGGCAGTGTTTGGAAGGACACATTCGGGCTAGGTGTGACAGGGGCTTTCATATAGAAGAACTTTATTGCAAAAGCCATCATGATGCTAATTGTTAAGTCACAGGTCAAATGATATCGTAAATATCATACAAGAGAACTATCAAATGACTTCAATCTAAATTTCTAATGTTGAAAATTTGTACTTGTCTAGGCACTACATTATAAGGAATAGTCATATTTGTTACCATGTTCACAGCTCTCATGTACACAGGGGCCCTGGGTAGGTACATATACTGTCGTGACCTTTGACCAGTGGGCAGGGCAACAGAGGTCGGTCACCTTTGGACCTAGACTACGTACTACTTATGACTTAGCGAGTAACAGGACACTAAGTTAATATGTTTTCCCTTGGAAAACAAACCAAATTGTTGAGACTAACATACACACATTTGTGTGCTGATTGCTAGCCTGCTTTTTGCTAATTGCTAGACTTTGGCAACATTTAATGTACAGGTTCTGGACAGTTGTTAATATGGCCGAAGTAAAGATGACACAAGATGACAAAAAAAAACAAAAGCTTGCATTTGAAGATGGCTTTGCCTAGCCTGCTGCATTTCGCATGTAGAGCTTTCTGAACTTTCAGAATCTGAAGGTTCCAGGGTTCAAATCCCATTCTTATCGAAATATTGAGTTCTGAATGATTATGACTTTACAGTACAGTCTTATGCAGCTTGTACTTACTGTTAGTACTGTACTTACTGTACTGTACACTGTTATAATTACGTCTAAAGGTGGTTTAACAGTTATGCAAAACAAAGAAACAAATTAAAATCAAAATCGCTGTGTTTAAAAATACACACTGTATCAGCTGTCCTCCAACTCCAGCAGCTTGTTCCCAGGGCACACTTGTTCCCGGGTCAGCTACCACGCCCATGCCTTCTTCTCGACTCCATGCAGATGTCTCACTGTCAGTGGGGAGGGAACGATAAACTGGTGTACATGTAACACAATTTGTCTTGTTACTGTAAATGTGAGAAGTTTTGGTAGCACTACACTTTGGAGTGCCAAAATTGAAAATATTAAAAACAAGAAGTCAGCCTAGCTACAGATAATACTGCAACAGCTGTGGGTATTTATTAGAATCATCATCATCATCCCGGCTATGCTACAGATTATTAGAATATATCAAGTTAAGTCATTCTTAATCTTGGTAAGGTCACTGTGAAACACCCCTCTGTTGGGGTAAGACACACGGGGGAGTGCACAGGCTCCCTTAATGTCTCCTTGTGCAGTAGTACGGCTTCCTTAAACTTGTCAGGCTCTGTGATTTAATGGCATGATGGTATTGTAACAGCGAGTATATAGGAATCACTAACTATCCGCCCAATGGATCTTGGATCTTTTGGGTGAATCGGTTTGTGCACTGGTTGTGAGCTGACACGTGGCGTGAGTGCACGGGTTCGATTCCCGGGGGTCAGAGTCAACCTTCAAGTTACTCCTTGCTCTGTGTTACAGCATGATGGCATGATGATGTGTCAAGTTCAAAGTTTGCTGTCCATAACTTCATTCCAAACTGCTGTCACAAAGTATGCTGACTTTTTCAGTCTGGATAACATAAGATTGCGAAATGTGCATGCACAAGAGTCAAGGAGGCCAACATACAATCACAGTCATCATAATGGTGAGAAATTATGACACAAAAATATACCTTGCAAGTAGTTGAGAGAAAACCTCGCTAGCTCCCAGAACATCTTTTGCTGTGGGATGCACTCTCGTCGCGTCTTCATCGTCTACTGGTGTTGGAACGTTTCTGCTCGCCATGGCGCCGGTTTTATCACTGTCAAAACTGAAAATAAGATACGATCATTGTGACTTCGTTTTCACTTCCGCATTTTGCCCCCCTCCCACTTTTCTAGTTGATGAAAGCAGATGGTTCAAATTAAAACCGCGGCATTGTCGGGAAACAGAGATGGCAAGAAAAACTTGTGAAGAGTTTTCCGGACCCAGAAACATTGGCCTGTACTCGGCAAAGACCTTTGGACGACTTACGTCAGAGAAAAGGCAACTGTTGTTCTGTTGCAGCAGCATCCATTTTTCCCGAAACCCTGGTCCCGCCATCTTTGTTTTGGTCGTCATATGACTGATCATGTGATCATTGATCAAAGTTGCTCACACTGACATGACAGTCACAAATTACCGGCAAATTCGTTTCTAGGGCCATAAAATATATCGAAATCGTTCGCAGAAGTATTATTCCTTTGAAAGAAAGTCGAAATTTTGTCAGTTTTGGAAGAGTCAAAGTTTGACCTTTGACCCAAAACACGTCTCAAGTTCGGAAGGGCGCGTGGTGGTGAGAAAAGTTCGATCAGAAAGTTTCCAAAACAGGTCAAAACATGAGCTAAATTCCCTTGTATTAGAATGAAATCTTGCTAACTACTTAGATAAACACCTGGTTACAACATGATGGTCGTTTTGGAAGACGGAAAAGTTTGTTTTTCTAACCTAAAAACGGGACGTTTTGGATTAGTGATGTGTTATTGTTTCCATGTCCACATGTCCAGCATGTGTCAACATGTTCTGGCTTGTTTAGTCGGTGAATAGTCTATTGTGGCTACTGACTAGCTTCATATTTTTCACTCTACAAAAAAATATCAAGGCATCACTCAGTCATATTTGCTCCCATGTAACGATGTTGTTATGGTTATGAAATTTTAATCATCCGACACAATGGATAAAAGCGATCGCTGTTTTTGTTTAACGGCCGTTACATTATTTGTATCATTGTTATATATTCTTCTTGGTATTTATTTTTTTTTTCTTTCACGCAAACAGCCCGGCCGGGCTCCGGTCTGAAAATGTGACCTTAGCATAACTGAGGCTCTGGTTCTGTCCTTGGTGCTGAATGATTAATCTGTTGTGAAATTCTCTATCAGAAGCTTACTGTGGATCCCAAAACTTTAGGGATGGTTTTATTTTCATTCTAGAGGTGGGAAAGGGAGGTTTTGACAGTGTTTTGAGTTTGTATTCCAACAAATTGTCGTCTAGTAAGGACTGCAAAGAGAAAGAAAACCACTGCAAACTTTCTCATGATTTACGGTATCTGAAGCCTTCATATACTTAGTATCAAAAACACTCTTTATTCATCATTCTAAGGCTATTTAAAGCTTTTTTTTTAAATCAAATATTGGTAATCTGCTCATTACTATCCTGTATAGTAATATAATCTCCAAGCAGATCCTATGGTGGCAAGACAGTATCCTTTGGCCAGAGATAGTGACCATTAGCCACCCTGTATTAAATTTACTGCTCTGGTCTTGCTGCCGTGGGCTCTGCATTGAGAGAAGTGATAATATACATCTCCTGTAACATAAAGTAATAAATATTCATTCTCATCACATCAATGTGTTCTCACTACAGTGAGCTTTCTGCTGGTTGCAAGCTTCAGGTCCTGAATAACAACTGTCCGGTCAGCAACAACACAAACATGGACGTTGTAGATCTATCAGACAAAGACCCAGACTACACAATGGATGGCGACCAGAAAAACGGAGAAGTAGGTTCAGGATGCAACAGTAGTGGTTCTAACGTGCTTCACAGGGAATCGGAAGATGAAACAGATATGCTGTTGTTAATGGAGGTATGGGATGGAAGCCCAGAGGCTGCAGAGCCATCCTCAAGCAGTCCAGGAGAAAGTGTTGCGTCTAGTGTGGATGGAAGACATGCATGTGAAACACAACCTAGTGATGTTATAGGGACATGCCAAACTGTGGATGGAAGTAGCAGTACTCTATCAGACTTGCAGCGTGACAAAGATGGTGTAAGCAAAGTAAAAGGTTCCTATACAGAGGGTAGTGAGAAATCTTCAAAACATGTATCCCAAAATTTCAGCACAAAAGGTGGAGGATACAAAGATAGCTCCTGCAAATCTGGAACTTTGGAAATGATAATAGACCTCACCGAAGAGGAAGAGAAACTATCAGCGCCTGATAATGAAACACAAAGGTTGGTGTGTGGAGCAAGAGGCAAGAATGATCATCAGGAAAGTAACAAGTCAAAGGAACATGTACATGTAGCCAAAAAGCGTAGCATGAAAACAAGAAAACTTGAAGATACTAGCTTGCACAAGTCTGGAGCTTTGGACATAATAGATCTCACTGAAGAAGAAGAAGAACTTGAAGAAAAAGACAAACCCTTGGTATCTGGGTATACTGCACAAAGGGATATGCACGAAACAACAAGAGACAAGAATCATGATTCATCAACAAGTTCAGAGGTGTTCAGAAGTTCTGTGGAACAGTGTGATTTGGAACAAGCGGGTCCTTGTATGATAGACCTGACTGGGTATGATGCAACACGTGACTTAGATGAGGAGGTGGCAGTCATCTTGGACAAAAGCTTGGATCCTTCTATGCAAAATCCAACATCATCTTCTTGCCGTACTGGCTATACAGTCACAATCTCTACCAGTCAACCTAGAATAACCAAACAAGACTCTTCCTTCCATGCCATCACAGAGGATCCGGACACGAGAAGTGCGGCAGATGCAGTGACTAGTAGTGGTTCATTTGATGATGCATCTTCCAGGGACACTGATGCATTTGTACGCACTCTCCTGTGCAGAGAGCCTGGCTTCGACAGCTCTAGTAGCAGCAGGTGTTCCAGTCCTGAATGGGAAGAGCTCACAGCTTTAAATGAAGGAGGAACGGTCAGCTTTAAAGAGACTACTCCCTGTTCCACAGAGCCAAGCAGTTATACACCAGCTATTGAAGAGCTAGATTTAGGGCTCAACAACTATCCTACACGTGTCAATCCATCAGCTTCACCCTACATAAATCCTGACAAAGACTTGGTCAAGGCCAACGATACACAATCTGAGAACAACAACATGGAAAGAAGTGCCTCTCCTAGATCTCTCTCAGGAGAATCTACAAGTAAAGAAAAGGATGAGAAGAAATCTGGCTTACAAGCATTACTGTCCTTAAGGATAAGAGACATAATTTCACCTATAAGTGTTTCCGACTCTGATGAGACAGAATCGACTGACAAACAGAACTTTCCAGACAACTCACCAACGGTACCCTGCATAGTTGTGGATGTAGATACAGGCAAGGCCAATAGCACTCAGGAAGAAGACAACAACCAGGAAAAAATGGCCACCCCTGGACCTCAGCCCTCTGAAGAAACAATGGATAATATAGCAAAAAATGGTAAAACATCAGGTATGGGGACATTACTGTCCTTTGAAATTGCAAACAAAGATGCCAAAGAGACAGAATCGACTGACAAGCAGAACATGGCAGTCCAAATTACAGTTCCGGGCAAGTGTTCTTACAACTCACCAACTTTACCCTGCTCAGATCCAGAGGAAGACAAAGTCAACCGTACACAAGTGAGTGAAGAAGACAACCAAGAAAAGATGGCCTCCCCTAGATCTGGCCCCTCTGAAGAATTGATACATACAAAATCACGTATACAGGCATTGCTATCCTTAAGGATGGAAAACACGGGTGTTTTGGACTCCAAACAAGATACAGAATCCCCTGAGCAGCAGGACTGTTCTGGTACTGCTGCTCCAAAAGATTCAAAAAATGAAGAATGCAGACATCAGTCATTGGAGCAAGAGGTGGCCTTAGTGCTGGCCAACATTTGTGACATAATAAACAGCACCCTGGGAGAAGAAGGATCCTTGGTGAGGCTAGACGATACCTCACAGAAGCATAAAGAAACTCAGTCTGGTTTGGAAGTACAAAACCACAAAGTTGAAACTGTTGAGCAACAGCCATTGAAGACAGAGGTAGCCTTGGTGAGGCTAGATGGTACCCCGCAGAAGCATGAAGAAACTGAATCTGGTTTGGAGGTACAACACCACAAAGATGAGACAGTTGAGCAACAGCCATTGGAGCAAGAGGTAGCCTTGGTGTTGACCAGCATTTGTGACAGAGCAAACAGATTGCCTGTGGAAGAAGGATCCTCAATGAGGCCAGACAAGAAGAATGAAGAAACTGAGTCTGATTTGGACATACAACACCACAAAGATGAAACAGTTGAGCAACAGGAAAACATTGTAGGACGTCACAACCTACTGTCTCATGTTGCTACAGAAATAGATAACAGTACAGGTGTGGATATCATGGAGCTGTATGAAGATGGCACTGTTGCGTTTGAAGCCCAATCACCAGGCAAAGAAAGCTCAACTATAGTGAACATTACACTTTCCCCTGTCCAGCCAAGATCACCTAACAAACCACCTTGTAGTTCACAATCAAAAGCTTTGTGTAAAACCAGTTCTGATGTTTTTGAAGTTGAGAGTACAGAAGACAACAGAGTTGACAAGCAGTGTGCACCAACCAGTTGTTCTGAAACAACACCGTCAAAGGACAGGGGTAATGGAGGTCAAAATAAGGACACGGAAGAAGTTGAAAAGATGGACCAAGGCCACGATGAAAGAGTAGAACTACAAGAACAGGCAGTTACACATGTGAGCAGTGGAAATGAAAACAGCAAGGGAGAGATTGAAAGCCAAAAACCATCAAAACTACTACAAGATGACAAAAGGAAAGCAGACGAGGCAAACAAGGAAGAAAGTAACAATGCCTCATGCAGTCAGACTCTTGGTATGGAGCTACAGAGTGAAAACCCAATAGACAGTTGTAAAGAACCAGGGGAAAAAGATTCACAAGAAGTGAGATGTACTTCAGATTCCTCTCCAAAAGTTCAAAAGATCAAAGACAACACAAAAGAGCCTTCCCAAATTTCAAGCTGCAACAGTTCTGAAGAAAGAACAGAAGCTGAAAGCACAGGAACAGTAAGTGTTCAGTCTCCCCCTGAACTGAACAAGAAGAAACAGGATGCCGTGCCTTTGAAGAAAAATGTTGAGACTCCAACAATTCAGAAGATCATAGAAGACCCTTCAGAAATTGCTAGCAGCAACAGCTCTGAAGAACAAATGGAAGCTGAAACTACAGGAACAGTAAATGGTCAAAGTCAGTCTCCCCTTGAACAAAACCAGAAGAAGCAGGAGGCTGTGCTTTTGAAGGAAAATGTTGAAAATCCAGTTGAAGAGAAACAGGTAGATAGCATTGACTCATCTTCAACAATTCAGATGATCATAGAAGCCCCAGAAGACTTTGCAAAAACAGCAAGCCACAACACCTTTGAAGAACAAATGGAATCTGAACCTACAGGAACAGTAAGTGTTCAGTCTCCCCCTGAACAGCACCAGAAGAAACAGGACACTGTGCCTTTGATGGAAAATGTTGAGACTGCATTTGAAGAGGAACAAGACAACAGTGATTCATCTCCAACAATTCAGACAATCACAGAAGACTCTTCAAAAATTGCAAGCTCTGAAGAAAGAATGGAAGCTGAAAGCACAGGAACAGTAAGTGTTCAGTCTCCCCCTGAACAGCACCAGAAGAAACAGGACGCTGTGCCTTTGAAAGAAAATGAAGAGGAACAAGACAACAGTGAATCATCACCAACAATTCAGACGATCATAGAAGACTCTTCAAAAACTGCAAGTAACAACAGCTCAGTAGAAAGTATGGCAGCTGAAAGCACAGAAACAGTAAGTGGTCAAGGTCAGTCTCCCCCTGAACAAAACCAGAAGAAACAGGACACTGTGCCTTTGAAGGAAAGTGTTGAAAATGCAGTTGAAGAGAAACAGGTAGATGGCAGTAATTCATCTCCAACAATTCAAATGATCACACAAGACCCAGAAGACTTTGCAAAAACAGCCAGCCTCAACACCTTAGAAGAACAAATAGAAGCTGAAACCACTGTGCCTTTGAAGGAAAATGTTAAGACTACAGTTGAAGAGGAACAAGACAACAGTGATCCATCTCCAACAATTCAGATGATCATAGAAAACCCTTCAAAAATTGCAAGTAACAACAGCTCAGTAGAAAGTATGGCAGCTGAAAGCACAGAAACAGTAGGTAGTCAAGGTCATTCTCCCCCTGAACAGCACCAGAAGCAACAAGACGCTGTGCCTTTGAAGGAAAATGTTGAGACTGCAGTTGAAGTGGAACAGGTGGATAACAGTGATTCAACTCCAATAATTCAGACGGTCATAGAAGACCCTCAAGACTTAGCAAAAACGGCAAGCCACAACATCTTTGAAGAACAAATGGAAGCTGAAAGCACAGGACAAGTAAGTGGTCAAGGTCATTCTCCTATAGAACAGAACCAGAAGGAAAATGTTGAGACTGCAGTTGAAGTTGAAGAGGTAGATAACAATGACTCATCTCCAACAATTCAGACAATTAAGGAAGACCCAGAAGACTTTGCAGAAACAGCAAGCCACAACAAATTGTTCTTGGAAGAACAAATGGAAGCTAAACCTACAGGAACAGTAAGTGGTCAGTCTCCCCCTGAACTGAACCAGAAGAAAAAGGACGCTGTACCTTTGAAGGAAAATGTTGAGACTGCATTTGAAGAGGAACAAGACAATAGTGAATCATCACCAACAATTCAGATGATCATAGATGACTCTTCAAAAGTTGCAAGCAACAACAGCTCTGAAGAAACTATGGCAGCTGAAAGCACAGCAACAGTAGGTAGTCAAGGTCAGTCTCCCCCTGAACAGGACCAGAAGAAACATGAGGCCATGCCTTCAAAGGAAAATGTTGAAAATGCAGGTGAAAAGAAACAGGTAGATGGCAGTGATTCAACTCCAACAGTTCAAACGATCATAGAAGATCCAGAACACTTTGCAAAAACATTAAGCCACAACAGCTCTGAAGAACAAATGGGAGCTGAAACTACAGAAACAGTAAGTGGTCAAAGTCAGTCTCACCTTGAACAGAACCAGGAGAAACGGGACGCTGTCCCTTCAAAGGAAACTGTTGAGACAGTCACAGCAGTTGTTGAAGAGGATTTACAGATAGACAACAGTGGCTCATCCACCCTCAACTCACCACTCTGTAAAGACATCGACTTCTCACAGCTGGACGACCTTTCCCCAAACTCCAGCATTGGTGACGCCATACTGGACTTTGTACAACAGGCAAACATACAGGGGGTATTAGGAGAAGAGGACAAAAACACAGAAAGAGATCCTTCTCAGTGTGTAAAAGAAAACCAGGTCCAACAATTGCCAGTAGAATTTGAATCCTGTGATGCACAGAGTGACGCTAACTGCGGGGAGAAACAAAAACTCCAAGACAGCACAAGCGACAACTGTGGACTGAATGAACTGATGGATGAAATCAGCCAGTTGTGTGAGACTAGAGATTGTACGCTCCTACAAGAAACAGAAGAACAAGGAAGCAAGGAACAACACATGCATACAGGCGCGAGACACTGTCCTGTAGTCAGTCAGACTTTTGATACTGAAGAAAAGGAGGAGTCATCAGAAAAAAGTGGCACACAGGGTCTCGATGGGTTTGTGAGACGGGCTGACAACATCAATCAGAATACATGTGTTGAATCATCGGGTGAAGGTCAAAGGTCACTGGATGGAAGGAGAGGAGATGTCCATGGTGCTACCAGCAACAGAAAAGAGAACAGGTAAATGAAGAGAAAAACAGTGCAATATCTTTAAGTTGTTCAACATGGGTAACTTTTGCACATAGTACAAGTTGAAAGAAAAGTTTGTTTCCAAAATTGGAAAAGATATTTAAAAGACTGTGGAGTACTAACAAAAACATACTAAATGTTTCTTTTTTTGCCATAAGAAATACATGGAAATACATTATACAAATACACGGAAATACATACACAGGAGAGTAGTATTTCTTCTGCATTAGCCTGTTCAAAGCCTCAGGTATATTTTTGTCTTTCTGTTTTGATCAGTACTCACAGGTTCTGTTTTGTACCTGTTTGTTTATAGTTCTGTCACCATGGCAACAAGCCGTGGGTCCACGATGGGCCAGGTGAGCCTGTGGGAGCTGATGGATCACCAGGGACCATTCATTATCTACCCCAGCCAGGGAGGGGGAGGGGAGGGAGTCATGTCAGCAGTCAGGAACCAGAGCACACAGCCTGCACCAGCCAGCACCACTACTGATTCACCCACAGTCACACAAGGTAATACTTAGTGAGTCTAAACAGAAATCAGAGATTTCAGTCTTGATGGAGTATTTGTGGTTTTTGTGATCTTCCAGTTCACCCCATTTCACTTGCCTGAGCTTTTGAACACCTGCAATTCTGCCTGTCATTCTTCCCCATCCACGTGCTATCAACCTACTCTGTACAGATAGTCATATTTGATTTAAAAAAGCTTGAACATATTCAAGAGTGTAATGAGCTTTAATCTTACCATTATTACCTTCGCCAAGAAGGTTATGTTTTCAGGGGCGTTCGTGTATGTGTGTGTGTGTGTGTGTGTGTGTGTGTGTGTGTGTCTGTCTGTCTGTCTGTCAACACGATAACTCGAGAAGGCTTTGATGGATTGTCTTGATACTTGGTAGATGGGTAGGTCTTGATGAGACCTCAAAATGATTAGATTTTGGACCCCCTAGCGGCTTGTCATGGTACTGCAGCTGAACTTCCGGTTTTGATATCTCAAGATCCAGACATGCTATGGTGATGAAATTTGGTTGGTAGGTAGCTCTTGTGCTGGGGAAGAAGTGAAGTGAGTTTAGGCCCCCTAGCAGCTTGCTCTAGAACTGCAGGGGGGTTTAAAGGACAAATGTTTAAAAGAGGATAACTCAAGAACCGATTGATGGATCATCGTGATTTTTGGTATGTAGGTAGCTTAAGTGATGCTTGACATAATGATATTACAATTATGCGAATATTGATGTAATTTGCATAATTAATGAGGAAATTCTATAAATCAGCTGCATTCCATGATAGGAAGTTCAAGCTTGTAACATATGTTATTAAGAGCGAGAGAAACACAGGCAAATATTGATTATGCAAATGAAGACTTAATTTGCATAATTAATGAGCAAAATGTTATAATTGCGTAGTGGTAACTGCCTGGAATTTCATACTTGGGGTGTTTGAAAGTTAAGTGAAGGTGAACATAATTAAACATAACTTATTCAAATAAGGACCACATTTGCATAATTTATGAGAAAATGGCATTCTTTGTTAAGATAAGACTGTCTTTTGGTGGAGAATATGATCAACAGACTGATATAATTCATGCAATTGAGGATCCTATTTGCATAATCAGGGTGATTAGTATATTTCTTATTCATAAAGGCTAACATCATTTGGCGAAGGTATGAGATCGTGGAACTCTAGTTCTTTCTAATTTCTTCTCTAGGCATGTCCGGGGTGGGAAATGCAGTGTACTCAGCCCTATCAGCAGTGAATGCAGACTCCACAGGCGGCCAGCAAGACGAAGATGAACCCACAACCATGTTGGACCTGGACACGCACACGGTGACCACCAGTGGCGGCATGGTCCTGAGATCGGGACACGCTACGAATGCCGACCAGTTTGTGGCCCCTAGGGCAACTGTGAATGAAAACCCTAGTGCTCAACAAACAGAGATCGAGAACACCACTCAAACTGGTAATACCTCAGAGGGTAGCAAAGATGGTGAAGGTGAAACTAATGAGGACTGTCCGTCTGAACTTGACCTACAAGTTGGGGTCATGACGAGGGCAAGGGCAAGGAGGCTGCAGCAGCTGCTATTCCTGGAAGAAGCCGCATCAGAAACGGCAACTTCCACGGTTTCTGCTCCAGTTCCGATGACCTACAGTACAGACGGCCACCAAGCCATGCAAACGGGGGAAAGGGAAGCCATCGAGCCTGCAGTGCCTCCGGGAGGCATGGATGCAGTTGCCATGGCAATGATGTGCAGCGGTCTGGAGGATGACGCTCTGGAGGATGTCGCAAGCGGGAGAGAGGCGGCACCTCAAGGTCTGTATCTGTATAGCCAGTATAACCACCCTTCGGCGTAACACACCAGCTTCGCAGGCACGTGGCGCGGCGGCAGCTGGCTACATTACACCTAACCCTTGAACATCTCACTCTAAACATTGTTTAAAGCCATAAAATGGTAATTGCCCCTACTGTACTTGGTGATAGCCAGTTCCACTCTGCAATAGTTCTAGGAAAGAGTTTTTTAAAACTTCAATCCTCTGGTCCTTGAAGGCATAACAGCTATGTCTTGTTCTTTTCTGGACTGGTATTAGGTACACGTACTTCGTAGTTGGTACGTCCACCAGTTTATTTTGTACGTCTGCATAGTCTGGACATTTTTCGTCTGTCTTCCAGTGACACCCACTGTAGGTCAGGGTTCCAGCATGACGAGAGAAGACTTAGTGGAGGGCAGTGCTGCAGGCCAGATCATCCACTGTATCCCCGGGGCAAACGTGACTCAGACCATCAACAGGGCACACCCCGACCTCCTGCCCACCGTCATCACATCCATGTCCAGTCTGGCCGGGCATCACGTCACTTCACTCACCATCCAGGAGCAGGAGTTTCTCTTCCTGGAGGAGATTTCCTACAAGGTGAATAACACAACTGACACAACTAATACAACTAATGCAAAGGAGTGTCCACAGAAAAGCGATTTATTGCCAGTGCTGTTACAAAGCCTTTTTACCGTACTGTTACTGACAATTTCACATATGCAAATAATTACAACTCTAGACCTGTGTAATGTCTAAATCATATTTAGGACAACCCCTGGCCTTGGTTCCAGATTTTCTGTTGTTGTATGCTCTGTGTGGTAATTTCTGTGGTGGCATCCTTACTAGGTGTCCAAACCACTTCATTGTTCTTGGTCAATGAACATGGACTGGTGTATATATGATATATTTGTATGAGTTCTAAATAAACCATTCTACTACTACTACCTCAGGTGTACAACCACACGGTGTCGTACGTCCTGAGCCGCTGCAACCTGCTCCAGATCAGCAGGATACGGTGTAAGGGGCAGTACCTGGAGTTCCTGCGGCCGTACTGCCACTTCATTGACAGGAGGTCCAACCACTGCTACCTCATCAGGACTGAGGATGCAGAGCTGCTGCACCGCTCCTTCCTCAGGCTCAAGAAGAAGGAGAAGACACAGAAAACGGGAAAGAAGAAGAAAGGGAGCGTCTTGCCAAGGTGTGCTCAGTGTGGCCATGAAGAACAACTGAGAAGACGAGGGAGGAAGAGACAGGCAGAAGCAACGGTGTCCGTCAACCCTGAGGAACATCAGGCTGACAGATTGCAGGAAGACGCAGCGGCAGCTGACATACTCCAGAGTGACTTGGGACCTGACAACCTCTTTCCAAGGGGCAGAATGGCTTCCAATTCATGGAACCCTACGTTGATTGGATTTCGTACGGATGCTGCGTGTCAAACACAGGACTGCTCAACTGAGACGGGTGGACAAGGTCTCGAAAAGGAATGCGAAGAGCCTCCAAGGAAACGGCACTGCAGCAGTGTGGTTGCCACAGCTTGTCAGACCACCGAAGAAAGTGAACAGTTAGAAACAGAGGAGAAGTGTTCTTTGATGGAGCAACACTCCAGAGGATTGGCTGCTAGTGAGGAGTCCTCTAGTTCATCTGCTGAAGGACCAAGAAGCTCTTCAAGGAGAAGGCATGAGTCCAGATCATCTGTGGTGACAAGCACTCAAAGCATCAATCTCTTAGCAGAAAGTAGTGCCGACCCTGACGAACAGATGACAACCTTCTACATCACCACCAAGGTGGTGGGAACACGCCTGCAGAAAGTCAACATCTCTGTTCGTAACGACAAGGGAGAAGAGCTGGCTACCACGGAGCAAAGCAGGGACAGTGAGGGTGAACAGGTGAGCAGTGAGGATCAGGGGTACTCGGAAACGATCGAGGAGACACCAGTGAGCCCTGTGGAGGGACTGGGGAGTGGGCAAGAGTTGGAGTACAGTCATGAAGTGGGGAAGGCAGAGGAAGTGACACACTCAGGGATTTCGGAGTTCTGCTTGGAAGAGGAGCAAACTGAAGGGTGTACAACCAGCAGTGACTCTGGTGTCTCGACAAAAACATTGGACAGCATTGAGAAATGCAACAGTTCCCTAGAACAAGATGTTAGTCAGTTAGCTTTATGTATGGAGCAATCTGATCAAGGGATCGCTGAAGGGTGTACAGCTAGCCATGACTCTGGCGTCTCGACAAAAACAATGGACTGTCTTAGCATTGAGAAACACAGAAGTTCCCCAGTATCAGATGTCATGATCAGTCCATCAGTTCCAAGTATGAAGCAAGCTGAAGCTGAGGCTATGATTGAAGGGTGTACAGCTGACTGTGGCGGTGCAACAAAAACGATGGCCAGCAACAGTTCCCTAGAGTCAGATGCCAGTCCATCACCAGTTCCATGTATGCACCAAGATGAAGAAGCATCTCGCAGAGCCGGTGAGGTACTTGAGTCAGATGTCTGTAAGAAAAGGCATGATGCATCGACAGGTGATTTAGAGAAAGACGACATTGAAGACGTATTGAGCATCATGCAGGAATCTGGTATAACAGTTGCAGACAAGCGGAAGGAAGTCCTGTACAACACAAAAGAAGAAGCTGCGCAGGACATGTGCTTGAAACTTGTGATGGAGGATTCAAATGATGTAGAAGAAACAGAAGAGGGTTTAGGAGAAGTCATGAGTATCATGTACGAGAGTGGAATCGACCTTGCAGCAAGTTCTGAGATGGCATTCATGAATGGGGAAGACACTTTGAAAGAGAATTTTTTGTGTGCTAACAAAAGTGTGACCGAGCAGAGTACATCAGAAATCGACATGGAAGATGTTACAAGCATCATGGAAGATTCTGGCATTTCAATGGCTGAGGACGTGATGGCAGAGAGCTGTACGTATCACAAAGCTGACACAAGAGGGACGACTGAAGCAGAAAGCAACCGAGATGTAGCAACACTAGACCAGAACAAGAACAAAGTTGTCCCATCAGAGAAAAACTTAGCCAAGATAGACAAAACTATTGAAGGTTATTTAGAGAAAGAACAGAATGTAGAAGAAGAACTGATGAAGACAGCTGCATGCCAAGATGATACATGGAAGTGTCCTAATCAGAACCATGAAACAGTTGCGGTGGAAGATCAAAGTGCAGAAATTTTGTACACACATCAGAATGGGCCAAAACGTATTGGGCATCTTGTTGTTTTTGATACTGAAGCCATGCCGTCTTTGAGTCCAATTCAAGCAATTGTGGACAGAAAACTCTCTTACTCTGACACCAAAGCCAGCTGCCATGAACCATCTTCCAGCAAAGGAAGTGAGGCATTGGACCAGGCTGTCGAAGAGAGTAATCAGACAATGGAATGCAGCCCTCGTTCACTTAAGCCGACTTTGCACTCCCAAAGGGACAAGGATGCAAAATTACATTCAGAAAGCAGTGGTCCTTCCTCTATTACTCCTGTCCGTATCCCCACAAGCAGCTCTCCCCAACCCTGTATTCCTTCAGAAAACGTTATGTCCAAGAGAAGCAAGTCAGGCTTGATGCCAAACTGCTCGGTCTGCCTGTGGGACTGTTCTCCACTGCTGGTGTCCCACACATCCAAAGGAGGAGCGTTCACGGGCTGGGGCTACCTGTACCCCCACTGGTGCTCCTCTCTCCGGGATGACCCGTGTGTCTACTGCCCTGTCTGCAACGCTTTCTATAACGTGAGTGCGTACCTCGGACACTTCCACGAGAAGCAGGGGCTGGTCGTGCACAGGGGCAGCTACGGGCTGCAGATGGAGTCCAGGCAGGCGACTGGGGCACAGAAGAGGCAGTGGAATGATTTCGCCAAGAGGCACCCTGCAGCCATTAAGGGTTGCGCGACGCCACAGAAGAGGCTACTGACAGCTACCCAGCGTAATGTTGGGAAATGTAGGAGGAAGATAGCTGTCAGATTTACGAAAGTGAAAGGTGGTAAATGGACAGTGTCGTCCTCAAGCAAAGGATGCACTGAGAAAGATGTCTCAGAGGACAAGGCATCAGGTACAGAGCAGCAACATGATAACTTTGCAGAGAACACTGCAGCACTTGCAGCAGAACAACGACCAGCATCTTGCAGAACAAACCAATCTGCATCAGAAAACACTGCGGCAATTGTTCAAGAACAGCAAACAGCATCATACAGAAGAAGCAAATATACTGCAGAAAGCACTGCAGCAGTTGCTGAAGAACAACAAACAGCATCTTGCAGCACAAACAAGAATGCTGCAGAAGACAACACAGCAGATGTTGAAGAGCAGGAGACAGCATCTTGCAGCACGAGCAAACATAGTGCTACAGAAGACACTGCAGCAGTTGCTGAAAGTCTGCAAACAGCATCTTGCAGCAGAAGAGAGTCTGTTGCAGCAGACACACAGGCAGCTTCAGTGGATGCCAATCATGCTAATGGCTTACCAGGACCCATCAGCACTTCAGAAGAGAGCGGTCCATCTGAAGGCAGCAGTAGCTTCTCATCTGCAGTACCAAAGGGGAAACCAAGAGGTAAAAGGTCTGGTGGTCACCCAGGAGGCGGTCAGAATGCAAAAATAGCAAAGACAAGTTCAGACAATGGAAAGAACTCTCCTGTGTTGGATGGAAAGCCAAGAGGAAAGAGAACTGGGGGCAGACCGGGAGGCAACAAGACTTTGCCAATCAGAGAAGGCAAAAGTAAAACAGAAGACAAAAAGTTCCGGCAATAATCAAGGGACAACTGTGAATGATCTTTGGAAATTTTGTCCTATATAGGCCTTGTTTCTGACTTATTTCTTTTCATATTCAAAGTGTGAGATTATAGATCTATATCTAAGAGAGATATATTTTGTTACAAAGAAGTATTTTTTTATGTTGAAAGTAGAGGTAGAACTGAACATGCGGTCATGTTTGTTGTCAGATCATCTCTGTAACAGAGCCCATAGGTACAGTTTATTGAAGAAGGATCATGCGCATTACCAGGCTATCAAATTTTCACATCTGCTTTTCTTTAAACACAGAAGACACTGCAGAAAGTGTAGGTCACAACAATAAGCAAGTATTGTTGCTAGTAGTGTATTTTGTTTGGATGTTTAGTTGTGCATTTAAGAAAAGCATCCAGGTATATTAAGGTTTTTCTTATGGTAGAGTTAGGATGGCAGCAAAGCTTTAAGAAGAAAAAAGTATTGCAAGACAATCTGAAGGAAGCAAAGGGAGGATCATGGACACTGATGAGATGTTGTGCTCAGAAGGATTCTGCATTGACTTAGGAACACCTGTAGGATACCCACAACTCTGAGGATGGAATGCTGGTGAGATACCCACATTTTCATATATAGCAACAAAAGATCTGTTGATAAAACATGTATGTGAGATCTGAAAGAACTCTGTCAGGATACCCAGACATCCTGTTGTTTTATACCACATCAACTCATTTCTGGTTACTCCTTTCATGTTATGTTAGGTATTCTATTGCCTTGTGTTGAGGAATTTGGCCAGTAAACAGAACATTTCTGTGCTAGATATTTCTTTGAACATAACCATTTGATTACATGCAAAAATGGCTTATGTTTACACAGTTTCGACATTTGATCACAAATTTTTCACATAGTCTTAATTTTATTTCAATGCATATATACATGTAGTCTGTAGAGAAGTTCACATTTGTTGTTCTGAACAGTTAGTTGATGTGTAGTTGGTTTTACAACACTCTATTTTAGACATAGTCTTTTGAACTATATTTTTATGAAGAGAAAAGTTATCTATGATGGGTTTTAATTATGATGATCTTAAAAAGCATGATTGTTTTCAATATGTTGGGTGTTTTTAAATTGTTGCAAATCATAGCTGTTATTTTACTATCAAAGTTTTTTGTCTTTTAGAAATATGTTTGTGATTCAAATTATTAACGAATTCTATCCTTTAAGTTTAGCATTTTCTTACAGCAAAGAAAACACATCGATTCAAGTTCTGTTTCGATGACTGGTTCTCCTGTAAAAGATCAATATTTTGTTGTAGTCTTTTTCTTACAACCAGTTGAGACCTTGCATACAGTTTTCTGACAGGAAAAGGGATGCCAACTTATAACCTTTTTATGTTAACATGTTCTATGAAAGATTAAAAAGTGCAGGTCACTACCTGAATGGAGTTGTTACTGTCCACTTCTAAGTTTAAGCATCCCAATACCTGTATAAATATACCTGTTAAACTACAGATTGCTAGAAAGTGCCCACCGTTCCAATGTAATACCTATAGTACCCCTCAGAGGCTTTAGTGCCCCTCTGACAAAGCTTTGTTTCTGCATGATAACCCCAGTATCTCAAGGGGCGTCACTACGTCCCAAGTCACTCACACCTCTTCATTATTGATGGCCGACTGTTAAGTGAACTAACCCGATTTAGGCAGTTACGTAGTGCCTATCAGGATATTACATAATTAATCTGCAGATACTGAAAATAGTTTGGGGCTTCCGTTGGTTATATACTGTTAAAAGTAAACCTTTTGTGGTTGTAGGGAAGGGAGTTTTTCGTGGTGTTCTATTAAAAATCCGCGGTTGAAAAAGATCTAGTAGCATACTCGTCATACAAGGAAGGCATTCGCAGTGAAGAAGTCGAAAATAAAAAAAAACCGCGAAAGTTTTACTATTTACGGTAGTACAAGTTACTGCCTCTACTAGGAACTGGCAGTGACTATCGATGACGTCACCTGTCAATAGCACGTCGACCGAATGTATTGCGCCTGCGTAAAATCCGAAATTTGTACGTACGGTTTTCGTTGACTGTTTTTGTCAACGTTGCTTTAGAATTTCGTCCATTGCAGACGATATCTTTTCTGACACGACATTTGAAAACTATAGACAGATGTCATCCTTAAATACACGAATGCGCCCGACGTTCTGGCGAAGGTATTTGCACAGACACAGTACATTCTGCCGACGTGCTTGGGTATATCATTGTCAATTGCTGATGCCCCCTATTAGGATAATGGAGTGGGGAAACTTAGCTTCAAGTACCGACGTCTCTTCGTGTCTGCTTTGAAGTGAGACTACACAAATAGACATCTGGCGCAGTTATATGGCGAAAGAGATCAAAGCATTTGATCCTGCCATTTAATCATGCTCGGGGGCTTGATTTCTGTCTTTGTGAATACGATTTCTTAGAGCCACTCACTTCATACAAATGTCATATGCTGTGAGGTTTACAGACGTATGTGGTCGGCTACTCAAGGGACAACAATCAAGTAAAGACTGCTTTAATCCTTGCAAAAAAAGGCGTAATTGTCCGCAGTTTCTCACAGAGTACAACCTCAAGCACCTGTGCATACTTTTATATTACGTCGCGGTTACATTCGTCGTAGGTCATCGTATGATTTTGAGGCCGTACGATTTTGAAACAGGCTGTGACAAGGATCTAAGACAGCCTTAACGGTAAGATTACAGTTGAATTTTGCGCGACACATGCACGAACAATCACCCTGCGATCGTACGACGGTCATGCAGCCAATGTGAGCAGGGTCCAACGTTATATAACACATTTCGTGCTTCATCCTTATATTTTTTTTAATCAAATTGAGCTTTGCATGTACAGATCCCTGAGATGTTTCTACATCTGGTGGGGAGGTCCTCGGATCAACGTCATTGGTAACGCGGTAACCATGGTAACTGTGCTATGACGTAGGTATAGCGTGACATGTCCGTCTGTTTTCGGTACGCCTGAAACGGTTTTGGAAAGGAGCTGGTTACTCGTACCAGAGGTTATGGCTGACTGTATGATAAATTCAGAAATGTTTACAATTTTTTTTTGTATCCGTAATATTTTTGTACTGACTGGAAGTTTGGTTCAAGAAAGCATTTTATTACATACTTATCCGTCATTATCATTACTCGTATATCATTTAGCATAATGCCATAGTTTGAGTACTATACAATTCAGCAATGCTTCTAACATATATTTATGTGGTGAGCCGAAATTTATGAATGTTGTAACGATAATGTCTTTCCATTAGGCATTTTCATTATATCAGAAGATACATTTCGTTGCAGATTTAACGACATTCTTGTATCTATAGCACTGTAACAATTGATCAGTAGCATTTCTACATACCCCAGTTTTAGGGACTGTGACTGAAGGCCATAATACCGTAAAACCGGCACAACCGTCCGACTGGCTCGTAACATACAGCAGTAAGACTTTGATTTACAACGCCGGTGGCGAGATCACAGACTGATACCCGTGAACTGAGTCAGGATAAAGTAAAATCAGCCCAGTCTATATAAAAACGTCGTGCGCGGTCGGGCTTTCTATATATGGCAGTTCAATTGCTGAGAAATATTGTCGATATAATGTAAGGCTTGTGTATGTGTATGTGTATGCACTCTAAAACTGCGAGAGTTGCCTCTTCAGAGAGTATTATTGCGAAGTACTTATGAACAATTGTAGTTCAATTTACTTCCCAGAGAAAACAGTGTTGGTACAAATGAGTTGAGTAAGGATAAAGTAAAATCAGCCGAGTCTATACAAATACGTCGTACGGGCGGTCAGGCCTTCTATATATGGCAGTTCAATCACTGAGAAATATTGTCGATATAATGTAAGGGTTAATGCACTCTACAACTGCGACAGCTGACTCTTCAGGCTGTACTATTGCAAGGAATATAGCAGGAATGGCTGCGGTTCATTTTAGAAAACCAGAGAAGCCGGTGTTAGTACAGATATGTTCAAGGTTGTTGTAGGGTTATCGACCCTGGCAGGCTCCAATGCTGTGTCCTTGGGAAAGATATTTCACATCTATTTCCCCACTTACAATTGACTCAGGTGCAAATGAGTACCTAGCTTTAGTTAGAGGTTTCCTCTCGGATAGGGCATAAACCCGGATATCCCGTGTTTAGGAACGCAACGCCTGGAGTATGTTAAAGAAACGACCACGCATAGAAAAAAGCAGGGTTCCTTTCCGGTGTGAGTGACCTTACAGTCTCACCTCCGAGTTGACATCTTGAAAAGCTGATAGTCTCCTGTTGTATCAATCCCTCCACAAATGCGGCAAATCTCAATAAATACAGGGTATCATCGCGAGGGATCTAAGAATAGTTTGACTTCATCTTAGTTACCATGGAAACCAGTGCGTCTGTAAAGCCATCAACATCTTGCCTCACGTTTCATCTTTCAGCACCAAGGACAGGGCCTTGCCGCTGACACGCTGCCCACACGCACGCAGTGTTGGTACTTGGGCCACACTGATTTAATTTTATGGATGACATCCACGCGCGCATTGGTTTTCGCCTCTTGTCTAAAAAAACAACTCCGAGGCTCAAGCCTGGGTGCCAATCTCCGTAATCCATTGTGTCTACCGACAGTAGGGAGCCGGCGGTAACTACGGAGGTAGGAGGACGTCGCCCAGGCTACCAAGGCTACACAGAGCTCTGTAACTCAGTACGGTGCACCGGTGCCGACTCATACATGCTGCAAAATGCCAGCATGTACCGGCTTATTGTAAAAGTTGTCATGTACAAACGCAAATTCATAATGCCAGCTTTGTATTCCTTTTTGGCTGGAATTTTTTGTTATGCACCCTCGCACACTAGTTTGGGGATCTTCAGAGGATGTCATCCATAAAATTAAGACAGTGTGGCCTTAGCTCCACCTGTGACGGCGTGCGCCCCCAGGTCGTCCCGGCGGAGTGTTAGCGTGAGTGATGGCGCCGGGACACCACATCTGACAGGTCGATTATTGGCGGCGACTCTAAGTGGTCGTTTATTGATTGATTCGGCAAATTAACGCATTTGCAGTCATGATATGAACGAACGCTGCGGCTAGCCCGTACACAATCACAAGTCAGATCCATCTTATAGGTTACGGGTTTGCCTACAATCCCTGGAAACTAAAACAAACAATAATGATAATTTATTTTTGACTTTTGCCCCCGTTATCAAATAAACTATGGTTGCCATGACGACCTTTGACATGTCATTAACCGGGAGGTCAACCACATCATCGGGATTACCGTAAATCGTCCAAAAGTCGTGAAACCCCCCTAACCAATGTAAAGTCCTTTTTTATTGCAGCAAAATCTTTAAGTTTATCCGAAACACGTTGTCGTGCTCCTAACTCTTCGGAAATATGATATTCCCTTTAATCATCATCTTAAGTACAAGCTTGTCGTTAAACTGAACAGGTAACGTGTAGCTTTTAGTAGCCACGCATTAAAAATTGTAAATATTTGATGGCGCACTTAGCTTCATTCGTCATAGCCCTACCCTCCTGGTGACCAGGTCATTGTCAGCACACGAGAGAATTACGAACATTTAATGGCCAATCGGACGTCATTTCTGTTATTTCCTCTTCAGTAGCTCCATCCCTCCCAGAAAAACACCGCTAGGTCCGGTTGCTAGGTTACCGACGTTGTCGCAAACAGTTGATGGTT